AGATGATTAAGTAAATGCCAAAAGCGGTTGCATAATTTTCTTTTTCAGTCTAGAAGACATAGAAATGCTCTGCCTTTTCTGTGTTTCACTCCATATTTCTAGTATTGGATGTTCAAAGCTAATTATTTATTTATGTTTAAATAAGAAGTAAATCAAATTTTGGAAAAACCTGAAAAATTTACGTTTTGATGAATGCCTTTTGCAAACAGTAACCTTCTTTGCCATAACAGATCATTTCTTGCAATTTAATGATTTTTGCTGGGTAATACATATAACTTATACTAAAGACATGTCTCTATTTTTCAGTTCTGCAAATTTCCATTTGTAAATCATTAAAACTGAATCATGACAAAGTGTGAATGTGTGAACTGCAAGATCTGCACAATAGCTATTACCATTCATGGAAGGGGTTTATATTTTCTATACTATAAGTTTTGCTTGTGGTGTGTTACATCATTAACAAAACAGTAACGGATTTCAGCTACCCTGAATGTAGAGTTGAAAAAAATTGAGAAAAAGGTTTAATTTGCTGTTTCCAGTTGTAAAAACCCATATGTTTCTATATTTGTATTCCTTTGATGCAGGATTATTCAACAGTCTAATAGATTTGTGTTGAAATTCCTGTTTATATAAATCTAGTTTTAATTATACAAATTTTTGTTTATGCATTTTTGAAACTATCTTGATCAGAACTCTTAACATTTGTGCCTTAGGAATATTTTCCTATATAAGCACTTTTTGTGAAGGCACTGCTCACTGTTATGCATGTTTAGATTTTGCTGTATGTCCCCACAGAGAGTACTGAATGTTTTCGCTATTACTCTTTTTCTACCCTCTGGGGCCACAGTACAGGGAAAATTAAAACTGCATTATTTATCGAAAAAAAAAAACTAAACAGAACAGTTTTTTCCAGGCCTACTGCAAACTTTCAATGCTCTCTTTTGTTATGCAGCATTCTGTTTGACTTCTGTTTGGCTTTTCTAATCAGAGTTAATTCATCTTTTGTTTTCCATATCTGTTGTTTTCTCTCATAGCAACTCTTCCAGTGCCAGGCCCTAAAGAAGCTGAGCTTGCCTGATAACGACCTTTCCAATCTTCCTACCACCATCGCCAGCCTGGTTAACCTCAAAGAGTTAGACATCAGTAAAAATGGTAAAGATTTCATGCATATGGAACTATATTTTCTAATAACTGCATTCAGCAGCAAAAATTCAGACATAACTCCCAGCACAGACATTGCTTTAAGGTACTTCTTTAATCTCAGAATGCCTATTTTATGCTATATCACTGTTTATAATGATGCACTCCAACAGGAATCCAGGAGTTTCCAGATAATATAAAATGCTGTAAAGGCCTGTCTGTGGTAGAAGCCAGCGTCAACCCCATAACAAAGTAAGACTCCAACACACTCTAACACTCCAAACCGGAACCTCGAGCTGTTTCGACAAAGCTTTATTTTATAAGCTCATCAAGAAAGATATTTTAGAAGATAGTTAGCACAGAAACAGTTACCTTTCATAAAGTCTTCAAAGCCTTGATGTTGACATGTTGATATCCAGACATGGTAAAAACAATCACCATGTCTGCACTGTTTACGTTAGGGTCAGAAATCACTAGGGAACATGTTGACTGACAAATTCCAGAACAGCAGTAAACAGCTACACCTTGCAGGATAATCATCTAAATTTAGAAGCTGTTGTGATGGACCAGAGTTACTGACTTTGATTCTTTTTAGCTAGTGTCCTGGACTCTTTGCCTGAGGAATTTATTTCAGATCAGAGGGAAATTTGACAATACATTGAGTTGTGATCACTTAAACTTTACTTGGTTTAAGAAGAGTTTGACCTCTGTGATCTGCTGTTTTTGGACTGACTGTGCCTCAATTGAAAGAGTAGACATTTTGCAAAGCTATAAAGTCGCAAAGTTGTAGCATTGTTTCTAGCTTCTCACATTTTCGCATGTTTTGCACCCCTGGTAAAGGGGTAAAGCCTAAATTCCAGCAGAATCTGGCTGAATGTGGCTTAGGTGAAAAGTGCTTTAAATGTCAGCACAGTTGGATTCCATACAGTCTGATATATATGACTATAATAATATAAATATATTCCATATATACATATATATAGTCTCATATATGCACACAGAACAGCCAGAAATTTCCTAACAACTTATTTCTAGTGGCAGAATGAGCTGTGTTTTTGCTTCTTCTCTCTGGTGTTTTATAAAATATTTTTGCTTGTATAAACGTTTTTCTGCAGGGCTTCCTAAAGCCAGCCCACATGTAATGTGGTTTAGCTGCTGTGCAGTTGCGGTGCGGGTGTGCTGCAAAAAGTTACACACACTGAAAGCTGTGACTAGGCTATCCCTGCTGAGCCCCCAGCTGCATAAATGCCACTCGACAGAAATTAAGTTCATGAGGTTTATGCTGTTTTGGGGAGTTGTACAGCAAAACTTATTAGAGGTGCACATTGATATCCCTTCTCATCGTCCAATAGCCCCTCTGTTTTTGTACTTGCACAGTACCTTCTGCATTATCCAGGACCAGGTCACAGTGCAGAAGTCTCAGCAGAGACTCCCAGACTTCCTTCGCCCTAGACACCTCTTACAGCAATGCTGAGTGAAGCCAGAAGTGCTCCCTTTTCAGCTAAGAGACATAGTCCCTCCAGCATGTCCTGGCTTATGCCCGAAACTTTCTCCCGGTGGGACGTGCCTGGAACACATCCTGAGGGACATGTCCAGGAGCGGCATCTGAAAAATATGTCAAAGCCACCTCATCTAACTCCTCTCGATGTGGTGGAACAGGAGCCCTGTGGATGAAGCTTATTTCAACTACTTGTATCCAGGATCTGGTTCTTTCTGTCATAATCCAGATTTTATGACCATCAGTGAGGGTAGACCGACTGGTAGATGTAGACCAACTGGTAAATTAATGTCTTCTCGTTCAGTTCTCTCTTCAGCTCAACAGGCTGGTGCAGTTTTACAGCATCTACCATATCGATTCATCAGTTGATCTCTGCTCCATTCTCCCCTCACTCATGAACAGGATCAGAAGATACTTAAAGATACAGTGGAGGATTTTCACAATTTTTTTAAAAGACCTGCCCTCTCCACTTTAAAAAGAATGCACATGCACAACACTTAATCGCTTCAGAGAGGGAAAGCTTATTAAACACGTGTGAGAGAATGCCAGAGGCCGTTCTCCTCGTGTACGCTCAGTTTGAAAGTTGTTGTTCTCATAGCTCATACAAGCTTACTGTGTTTGAAATTCTGCCCTAACCCCTAAAACCCTTCATCACTATATAGAGTGGGGACTAAATAGTGGACTTTATTGTGAACTCAGTTAACTGACGATTTGGACAGATGATCACTACTTTTTGCTCCCTGTTGGTCACATAACTCCAACTCCACCGCTCAGTGCCTGCACCATCTTTATCATTAGTCACCGCTGTTGGTTAGCCACAGCCTACTGTATGGCAACAACAGCCCATTGTGACAGAAAATCCCATAATGCTTTGCTCGGAGAGCTCTCCACGCAAAGCATTCCAGGATATATCTGCCTCTTCTAAGGCATTTATTTTCTTCTCATACACTTCATTGACACTTTTTCTATTACAATCCTCTGCAGTTTTCAAAGAACCGTGGTGAGAAACGTGAGCTTCAATGACTGTCTGAAACCGTAGCTCATCACACATGTACGCCTGAAAGTGCGAATGCACAGAAGAAGATATCTAACTGGGGACGTGCACATACCTAGGACGGCTTTACGTAAATATATCACCAGAATGATTGACAATTACAGTAGGAGGAATACTTATTTTGATGATCTAACCAGAAAAATAAAATCCTCCACTACCCCTTTAAAGTTATCCGCTTGAGACAGGAACTGTCCTCCAACCTAAAGGATACAAGCCACCTTTTTATTCAAGAACCATCGTTTCGGATTTTGAGGAGCTGATTCTGGGGCACTTTGCACCTGGCAGTAAACATCCCCCGTGCATGCTGTAGGTTTTGAGAGGAGGGAGCCTCCAGATCAGGGTCGAAATTCACTGGTTCCCAAATCAGACCCCCTCTAGCCTTTGGCAGTGCCAAGAAATCCTGTTAATAAAGGCTATGATCAAGATTGGTGAAAAAATGCAGCCTTGCCGGAGTCCAACATGCACCTGGAACAGGTCCGACTTTATGTTGGCAATGCAGACCAATTTCCTGCTTCACTTGTACAGAGAGCGGATGGCTCCTTTCCCCTGGATTCAGGAGCTTGATGCAAAGACAATTTGCGTCAGGCAAAAATCTGTTTTTGGGGAAACACTTTGTTGATCTGCACTGCTTTGGTGTACACTGCACCACAGCTGATGTGAATGTACACATTGATTTGAATGATTTGGATTGCTTGCATCACCCACACTTCAGCTGCACAGCAAACTACAAGTAGAAAAGTAGAAAAAAAAAAACAGTTTGAAATATTTTTTATGACACTTTAAATATGTAAGATAATTTTAAAATCAAATTGATTTAATAACATACTGTATGTAAGCTTTTTATTCTTGCTTATTATCTGAAGGAGAGTTTGTGTATGTTTACAAACACTAAACATGCAGTAACTAAGCTAATTTGCTAATGCCTGGTTGGCTTTTTTATGATTGCTCATCAGATCCACATATTTTTAAAAAACACATTTTTTTTATCTTTGAAGTCTCAGGTGTGCATTTATAATTCCCATTTTCTTACCTGCTGATGTTGATGAAGTAAAGAATGCTGCAGAGGTAAATGTTTCCTATGTGTCTGTGTTGCGCTTGTGCTGCAGATGAGTCATCTCCAGGCCAGCAGCGTTTAGTTGCTTCTGCAGCCATGCAGAAATTGGCCATGTTTCCTCCCACAGGAGGAAACTCTTTTTCTTATTCCTCTTTTGCACCTTGCATTGTTTTCTGTCTTTTGTTTCATGTGTGTTTTTTATATTTTAATTTTTTTTATTTTATTAAATATTTCTCTTTAAGACTCCCAGATGGTTTTACGCAGCTCCTGAATCTGACCCAGCTCTTCTTAAATGATGCCTTCCTGGAGTATCTGCCCGCTAACTTTGGCAGGTGAATTGATACATGTGTTTATCTTTAGTTGTGTTTTATTTTGGATGGTCGGGATTAACGCAAACATTTACTCTTAATCTATAACCTCTATTCATATATTCTATTTAGTGTTTAACATATTTTTGAAGATGCATTTACCATGAAGGATTTATATAAGGAATATGCCTTTTTGGTTAATTCTAAAGCTTATCTGTTGAGCAGTGTCATTTGATATGACTATTTAAAAGCTGTGTGAGTGGGTGCTGGTAATTGAAGTCTGTATTGAAAAGATCCTATAAAAAAATCAAAATTACTGGATATTTGTTGAAAAGAACAAAAAGATATCTAACAGAATGATTTTAGAGATTAACTTTTCTTTTTCACTTCATTTATTTTTGTGTACTCTTTTTTTGTTAATCCTATTGAAGACTGTTGCATCTGGCAGAGTGCAAATAAAAGGAATTAGGTTTAGGCTTATGTTCCTTCTGTTATTCAGGCTCTCCAAACTACGGATTCTGGAGCTGAGAGAGAACCACCTGAAAACCATGCCAAAGTAAGACAGGGTACCATATGAACATTTGTATGTTGGAAAAAAATAACTTATCTTAAGAAAAATAATAACCCTGCTTGTTTTTGTGTTAGTTCATGTGAAACTCAATATGGATAACATTTCCATTTTCTGTCTTTCCAGGTCCATCCACAGACTGACACAGCTGGAGAGGCTGGATCTGGGTAGCAATGAATTCTCTGAAATGGTAAGATCAGTTTGTCTAATGCCTTACTTTTCACCACTTTTACTAGAAATGTTCAGAATAATATAGGTAATATAGATTAATTGAATTGGACTGTGTGGTGGGTTGCATATGGTAATAAAAGTAAAAGGCTAAAGAATGGAGAAGCAGGACTTAGTAAGTGTAAAGAAGGACTATTATAAACACTTGCTCACAAATACAAATAAGGAAACCACAGGGAGTCCAGGCTAGTGTGATGCTCTAATGGTTCATGTACTGTACAACTCTGCTGCATTTATTATGTCCAATGTTAAAAGAGACAAATAACAGATAAGTAGACCTGTTATGATAAAGCATGGATAACCTTTTTTCTTCAGCTTTGAAAGACCCTCTCCCTCACAACTTAATTCATTTGAGGATTTTTGTAGATGGATTCTACAATCTCTTAACTCATTAATCCCTCTTATTTTCAAGGTTCTGGTTCTGGTTTGTCTGACAACATGGATACTGAAACACCATAAAGCTTCTGAATTTCCAGTTGTAGTGGTTATTGATTGCACAGGGACAGTGTCTGCATAGCATGTTGAAATACTGAGTCTTCAACATAAGTTTTAACATCATCAGCCATGAAAAAAAAAACAAAAAAAAACTAATGTTATTCTTATGGCTTTTGTACCATCTGACCTTTCACTGAGCGAGTCCATTTAAAAGCAGCAGGGAGTAGAAGCTTTTCTCTCCAACCCAACCACCTCTGTTCTGTCAGACCACCAATAATCTTCCACTGTCTGTAATTAGGTCAAGGTACTGGAAATATTACCACAAGCATTAACAGCAACTGAGACATATGCTTGCAGTTTTCTTTTATGTTTTATGCCTCATGACATTAGTCTACCTAGTGGCGCAGTGGGTAGCGCTGCTGCCTTTCAGCAAAAGCATCTGGGTTTGATTCCCGGCCCATCTCTTTCTGCATGGAGTTTGCATGCTCTCCCTGCGCATGTGTGGGTTCTCTCTGGGTACTCCTGGCTTCCTCCCACAGTCCAAAAACATGACTGTTAGGTTAATTGGCTTTTCTAAATTCTCCTTAGGTGTGAGATTGTGTGTGAATGGTTGCGTTGCCCTGCGATGGACTAGCGACCTGTCCAGGGTGTACCCCGCCTCTCGCCCCGGTAGACAGCTGGAGATAGGCACCAGCACCCCTTGCGACCCCACTTGGGTTAAGTGGGACAGAAGATGGATGGCTTCATGACAACATTAAATCATGTTTTAGTAATCGTATATGTTCTGGGGTTGTTTGTTAACTATGTGCTAAAGTGGCATGCTAAAAAAAACACTCTATGTAATAATATCCCTTCAGTACTGTGCACTAGTTATACAAGTTATTTACATACTTAAAGTAGTTTGTATGGGAAAACAGAGACATCATATTTTAGGAGTTTCATTTAAGCTGTAAAAAAAATATTTTCAGAAAGCTAAATAGGGCTATCCTTGCTGATTTTCCTCTACCTCTTGGCCTGTATGTATTTACTTTGTATTATTTAGCACTTATTAAACCTATGAAAGTAGAAATAAACAAAAAAAAAAATTCTTAGTCAATAGCACCAGACTGAATGGTTTCCTTTGCATCAGAAAGCAGATATTTCCGCCCCAGAAAAAGAAAACCTGTTATTAGTCCTAGAGTTTATTCTCTTCCACAAAGTAATTTCCAAAAGTAATTTCCAATTTCATAGTTAAGTCATGTATAGAATTAAATATGGACACCTGTAATCCTAAAGAATTAGCTTTTGACCTACAAAAAACTCTTTTTCATTAAATCATCATTACAAACATACAGTTGCTCTGTGCCTGATTCTGTTTGCTCTGTCCTTGTATGGTCAAAAGAACTCACATGTCATGTGCTCCTTTATTTTCATTTTTGATTTTATAATAACTTACATTAAAGCATATTAAATCTTTTTGCTTCGTAGCCAGAGGTGCTGGAACAGATACACAGCCTTAAGGAGCTGTGGCTGGATAACAACTCTCTACAGTCTATACCTGGGGTAAGTGGACTTTCACCTTAGGCAGGAACAAACAAGTATAAAGTAACGCATTGTTGCCAACTTTTACTTCTTCATCTGTCTTTCTGCAGTCAATAGGGAAGCTTCGTCAGTTGCGGTATTTAGATTTGGCCAAAAATCGCATTGAGTCTTTGGACAGTGACATCTCTGGCTGTGAGGCCTTAGAAGATCTACTGCTATCCTCCAATATGCTGCAGCATCTGCCAGACTCTATAGGTACATACCTACATAACCAGCTTGGGTTTTATTCACAAGGACTGATATATACACACAGTGAGATACAAATTTAACACATGAAATAATAATAAAAAAAGAAACTCAATGATCCCACTTACTTAAGACCAATATAAATATAACAATTAACCAAGCAGCTATGTACATTTTTTTCAGAAACCTTAAACAGACAGTTAGTCTCACATTGTGAACATATAAGAAAAAATAATGTTCCCAATGTAATTTTTTTTATGCTTAGTCCTACTTTCAAGTTGAAACAAACTATCCTGATAATGGCTGCAGCTTTCAAGGGTACATAAAGGGTAGTATTGATCTTCTATAAGTTTCTGCCAATCGGCTACGAATCTGCATATGACCATCTCCTTAATATGTCCCTTAGTTTATATTGAACTATGCTGTAGAACACTGTGTTGATGCTGAATGATAATTATGAATGATCTTGCTAAAAACAGAAAGAGTGAAAGTTAAGTGTTTGTATTACCCATGTGGGAATTTGTACCTGTGTGTCTGCATGTGTTGCAGGAATGCTGAAGAAGCTGACCACTCTAAAGGTAGATGACAACCAGCTGACCGCACTGCCTCACACTATTGGGAGGTGAGAATCCAACACAGATTCTTCAAAAAAATCTAACCCTTTAACAAATGTCAGGTCAGATAAATGGGCTTGCAATAGTGTTTATACCCCATTGAACTTTTATCACATTTTAAAACCAAACATTTGACTGTCTTTTAGTTATATGTTAAGTGAAAGAACAGCACAAAGTAGACGTAGGGGTCTCCAGTCCTGATCCTCAAGATCTACTGTCCTGCAAGTTTTAGATGTATCCTTGACTAGTTTCTTAATTATATTTAACTCAGGTATCATTTTCGTTTTTACATGAATCGAGTGAATGGCTTGTTGCCAGCCCCTTGCCAAACGTCATTGCAACCTGAAGATGTAATTCCATCATTTGAATTAGCTGTGTTAGAGCAGGGATGCATTTAAAGTCTGCAGGGCAGTAGATCTGAGTACCAGGGTTGCAGACCCTTAAGTAGATTCTACTACCTAATATCTAGGTTTTATAGACAGTTCATGCCAAAAGTGGTGATACTCCAGATAGGTCTAGACCTGTTCGAATCGATAGCCGAGCTCTTCTGGCGTCTTTATTTTCACAGCCTTCGAAGGAGCCAGTCCAGGTAGAACGGGTCCTTCAGACCTACAGTGTGTAGTACTGTTGCAGGAATTTCCTAGGTTCAATTTCTGGCCAAAGATCTTTCTGCATGAAGTCTGAATGTTCCTCCCGTGCATGTGTGGGTTCCCTCTGGTTATTCCAGCTTGCTCTCACAGTCCAAAAACATAATTGTTTTTTTTTTTTAACTGATGTCTCTAAGGTGTGAGTGCATATGCATGCATGGTTGTGTGTCTCAGTGTTGTCCTGCAAAGTACTGCTGGTCTGTCCTGGGTTTCGCCCGGCTTTCACCCATAAACTGCTGATGATAAGCACCAGTCCCCAGACAACGGATAAATGATAGATAGGTGACCATCCTCTATATGATATAAGAATGGTTTTAATGGTGCTACAGACTATAATTTCATTGCTATTACGACAAGAAAGAATTTTCAATCATTTTTGACGATTGAGGAGGGCACACTTTTTTTTTAACACCATTTTAAATACACTAACTGAAATGGGCTTTAAGATGTGTTAAAAGCTTGGAATACTGTTTTATGACTTTACCATGTTGTACCTTTATACTTCTGCTGTCTGCTGTTTGCCTTGGTTTTAAGTGTTGTGTCTGTTCACAAATATTCTGCACAGAGCTTAGAACATACCCTTTGGGCTTCAGTGATTCAATCAGTGACTTTTTATTTTATGGAGTCAGATTAAAAGACACTAAATATACCACCATATGAACACTTAAGTTTTCTAAATTATATTTTTTAAATAAACTATGCATCCTTTACATTTGTCTTACTTTGTGTTGATCTATCACCTAAATCCTGATAACAAACTCTGATTCTTCTGGTTAAGGTGTCCAAAATGTGACAAAGGCTATGGATTATGAACACTTTAGCTGCAGATATTTGATTTTGTAATCATTGTTTTGTTTTATTTAAAAACTTCCTTCAGCCAATTCATCTTGGCAGTTTATAATGGATTGCAGATATAGGGGTTTTAGGTGGGTCGTTTATCTTGTTTATCACTGTATTGTAATGGCTGATTTTTGGTTGGGGGGGTCTGTGTGTTATGTTTCCTGCGGTGCCATGGCGTTAGTCCGAAGCCAAAGCAAGGGTGAGTAACATGAGCCTTCTGGATTTTAGGGCTTGTTCAGAGATAGATGTTCAGCCGTGCTGCAGATACAGAAAATAAAAGCTTGCTACCACATGCTGTCAATGTGGGGAACATTTCATATCCATAAAGATTACATGCAAACATTAAACAAAGTTATTTTACTGTATTCAGAGCTTGATTTAATCTTTAGATATGATTTTTATTCTTCAAAAACATCAATAGGAAAACCCACGGAGAATAAAATGATTGCATGTAATGTTACTGCAGTGGTATGACTGTAGTCTTGCTTACATCAATGCATAGGATGTGCAACATTAAATATATTGTCTGCTTTAAAAAGGTAGATATGTTGATTAATTAACCTGAAACATTTGTTAAATATAATTTTGGTGTTGTCTACTGTTCTTCATATTTTTATTTAGATTTTATGTAAGACTTATATAATTTGTGAAAAGAATCATCTTTAAACTTTTGTTTCTTTGTTTCTTTCTGGCTGACTTTAGATATTCCATATAATTCTATATTGCTTATAAGATTGACATATTTGCAAGATCTGTATCTGAACACCCTGAAAGCTCTCTGTCTTCATGAACAAGTCCCAGGATTTGGTCTTGATAAGTAGTTCTGTAGATTAATGACTTCCCCTTAAAGCTCTTTTACTGTTTCACATCCATTGTTAGAAGTGTTTATTTTATTTTATTTTATTTTATTTTTTTACCCTTGTTTAATATTAAATCTTTATAACAAGACTTTAAATTAAATTTTTATTTTGCAGTTTACCTAATAGAATAAATATTTTTCAGTGTTAATACTCAACCAGAAAATTGAAAACAAGCCTTTAGATCTAAAGGCGTGGTAGTTTCTCAAAAGGAGCCATACAGTAATCAGCAACTTCTCCAAACCCCTTTAATAAGAGACTTAAACACCTGCTTTCAAACTCAGATGTCATGTTTCAAAGGTAGTGGTCTATACTGCCACTAAATCCAATTTGTACAAATCAGATTTATTTCACCTGGATAGATTTAATTTTATATTTTCAATAAAGGATCATAATGACTATATTTAATTCATAACCTCACACTACCTTCAAATTAAAAATGAGGTTTTTTTATCAAAGGTAACAGCTTGTTGGGTAGGGGTGGGGGGGTCAAAAAATTTTTAAAGATGATATTTTGGTGATTATGGGGCTGTGAAATGTTTGTTTAAAATTTTATGTAGATGATGAACCTCAGAGAAAAAGTTTGGCTCATAGTGGCCAGCCAATAGGAACGCTAACTTGTTTCTTAGTTATAGTGAACTGAGGTATAATTTTCTGCTAGTTTTTACTGGATATAAAACTGGATGGATCTTAATGATTATTTCCAACCAGAATGACTACACTATACACCCAATGGCGAAACTTCATTGGAAAGTGAAAAAACTGTATTTGAATCTAACTAACTTGAACCATAGCAGTAAACACAAATGTTATTCAAAATAAGACAACCTTTCCCTACACCTCTCCTTTTTCTTTGTCCCTTCTCATCTGCTCCCATTTTAGACAGTATGGTAGTCCAGATGGCCCCATCTGTTGGGAATAATAAGGCAGACTAATGTAATGTTAACAGTGAATGTAAAAATGTTTTCTCATTAGCATTAGCATGCTGTTACTTTGGTGTCAGACCACTGAAGACATGTAAAGGGCAGTCCAGTGTGCTATAGAGGGGTTGAACTAGATGCTACAACAAGCTGAGATCTATCTCTAAAAATAAGAAATATATATTCAGATTATATCTGAATCATTAACCTTTTAGTCCTCAGTGTAGCTGATGTTATTATAATAATATTAAGAAATTTCCATGTAAAGACTGAAACATCATAAGCTTATTTTAACAGTGGAGAAAAATTGTAGCCAAAAATTGTAGATATCATCCAAAATTATGCAATTGTCATTATTTTTAGTTAATATTTTATTTATATTTTCTCTCTGTTAATTTTTACACATGTTCTTTGCAATTACAACTGGGCGTAGCCTATTGGTTGAATCTTTTTTCTATAAATTCTATTTTTGTTCTAATAAAAAAAAAGGTCACATACTACAGGTTAAATGTTATTTATCTCCGGTTTCAGTCTTTCCATGGAATCGATCTCTTTCCAGAGAAAGAATATTGTTTAGAATAGCTACAGACATGTTACAGCCGTCAGAATGACTCCTCTTCTTTTCTTTTCATGTCCTCTCTTCTTTTCATTTAGCCTGTCTCTTTTGGAGGAGTTGGACTGTAGCTGTAATGAGCTGGAGTCGTTACCTCCCACTGTTGGCTACCTGCACAGCTTGAGAACTTTTGCTGCAGATGAAAACTTCCTCATAGAGCTGCCACGGGAGGTAAGCTTATTGATTTCAGCTCTGACACTGATACCAAACAAAACTTAAACAATACAGTTTTCAAATCAGAGGTTACTGTAATTTTTTTTTTTTAAATCTTCAGAAAGATTTTAATTTCACCACAAATACTGTAATCATTGAGTCCTCCCAAAAAAATTGTCCCTCTGTTAAGGTATCATTCTGTTAACCAGCCTGAAGCCGGTAATTAGCTTTACTTTTTTAGTCTTTACACTGTCATGTCTTATATCAATATTTTATATAATAAAAAGTAACCTGGTTTATTATGCTTGCTGTGTTGTAATTTTGTTTAAATGATACATTTCAGACAGGTGTTGCATGCATTTGAATTAGGCTAGCTTGATTCAACAATATGTAGAAACCCTTTTCAGCTGCAGGAATTTTGATGTGAGCTGGTGTGTTTCATATCAAGAGGCTGGATAATTTGACCTCCCTCTTTTCCAAAAGAGCTCAGGCGCAGTCATGGTGAATTGAGAGTATCTGTGAATTACTTTGCTCAAGTCTTACACAGATTCTTGATTGGATTAAGGTTTATACTTTGACTGAGCCATGTTTCAAGAAGATATGTGTTTGTTATAAGCCATGGTTCACAAACTCCAGAGTTTTGTTTTTCTTCTCCAAAAGAGACATAAAAACTTGGGAGTTTGTAAAGCATGGCTTTATTGGGTTATTAGCAGAGTGTAGAACTTGATTGTATGGTGAAGAGGTATTTTTGTCTCAGAGCTATTTTAAGTGGGCTTGACCTTGGATTAATCTAAAAGTTGTAATCATACTGGACCTTAGGGACTGACATTTGAGTTACTTGATGTAAACATTTTGATGGTAGTTCAGAATGTTTAGTGTTATTGTCTAACTGGAGGGTAAACATCTGTCCTTTCTTGCCTTTTTGCTTATTTTCTTACTCGATTGCCCTACATTTTGCTCCATTTTCCCATCGTCTCTTATTGGCCTTCATGTCACTTCTTAAAAGGTTTGCTGCTGTGTTGAGGGTAATGTGCAACATTACTTCTCTGTCATGCAGAGCATTTTGGATGTTGGGCTTAAATATAGTTTTAGTCTCATTTGACCCAAGCACTGCAGATACATTTTTTATGTGTCCCTTACTTGGTTTGTAGCAAATATATAACTTTTTTTTCTGGCTTGGTTTCAACAACATCTTTCTTCTTTCCTCTTCTCCATAAAGGTCAGGTTTGTTTCAAAAATGTTTGCCCAGCTCACCAATTTGCACACCTGAACTCTCTCTCTGATGCTTCTTTAAAGTTAAGCTGAGCTTATTTGATTATGGCTCAGTTTTGTCTGGATGGCTGTGGCAGTTGTGCACTTTAATCTTATTTCATTTTCTAGATACATTTTTTGGATTTTCTATAAACTAGTCCTTTAAAATTCTCCCCAACTTCTTAATGGGTCTTTTTAATATTCACCAACACACTGTTGAGCTCCTCATTGACTTATTACAAAAAAGGTGAATTCTGAAGGCAGTTTGTTTGCACTGGATCGTGCTTGGGCTTATCTGAGTGTAGCAGCCTGAACACAAATGCATGCTGTACTTTTTTTTTTTTTTTTTTTATTAGTTTCTGCCAAACAATTTTAAAAATGATCTATCATTATTCTCCTACTTCACAGTTCTGTTGTATATTGTGTGCCTCTAACACTTGAACATTTGTTATTAAAAAATAATGTAACACTATTCCAGAGTATACGCTTTTGCGAGGGACTGTAACTTATTTTGATGGCTTGAGTCTGTGTGTGTGTGTGTTCCTGTTTTAGATTGGTAACTGCAAGAATGTGACGGTGATGTCACTTCGGTCCAACAAGCTGGAGTTTCTGCCTGATGAAATAGGGCAGATGACCAAACTACGTGTTCTTAACCTCAGCGACAACAGGTAAAGACACGAGCATGCTGGTGCTCTGGGCTACGATTCCAGGTGGCAACATTTTTACAATCAGGCAATAATTTCTCAATGGCAGCTTGGCCGCTTTTCTTCTTACTGCAATAAGGCTTATGGTAACCATGGAAATCAGAGTGTGTTGCCATGGTAGCATGCTCTGCAGGCTGTACAGTGAGTGGGAACATGAAACATCTCTATTCTTTCCCACCCCCCTTCATAATATTTCTGTCTTCCTCCAAGGTTGAAGAATCTACCGTTTACCTTCACCAAGCTGAAGGACTTGGCAGCTCTGTGGCTCTCTGACAATCAGGTATCTGTCCATTTTCCTGCAGGCCCGCAGGAGAGAACACCTGCTAAGTGATATGCGTAACAACACTTCTAGCCATCGTTATGATAATCATATACCAGGTCTGGTTTACAAGCGGATTTACAGAATACTTCCAAAGGGTTTTCCATTACAGGCTTTTATTTTGAAAAGCAGCATTTACTTTTGACACATTTGCTTGAGGAAAAGATGCATTGAGGATAAACAATACATATGTATTTTTGTACATGACTAAATCCAGAGATTATTAATTCTATGGATAATAAGAATAATGTTTTAGGTTGATCAAAGCAAGCAAATAGTGAATATATATTACCTACTAAAACCAGAAGCATTTTAAAAAAATGTTTTCTTTATTACATATTCATTTAAAATGGCTACCTAAAGTATGTATTCATAAGGTACAGAAAATACATATTGAGATTTAATTATTAACCCTCTTGCCGCTATCGCCCACTGGTGGGCTCTAGAGGTTTAAGGAGCAAATAGGTTTTAGTCAAGGGGCTACCAATGTTGCAATCTGTTTATCAGCATTCAAGTTTCATTAAGAGATTACTGGTTAGTGTTAAACAAGGAGATGTTGTTTTTATTGCCCTCTTTTATTTTTGTAAATTTGGCAGTCACATCACATTAGCATGAATGGGATGTGACAGGTATTTATTAAAAATTGCACACAGAATGTTAGTTTGAAAGTTTGCATCTGTATTTTGCAGTCCAAAGCTTTGATCCCACTGCAGACAGAAGCTCATCCAGAAACCAAACAGAAGGTTTTGACCAACTACATGTTTCCACAACAGCCCAGACATGATGAAGGTATGAAAAAAAGATGTCTTTATGGTGCCACATGAACTTTCAATGCTTTCTGACATAATTTACGAAAACTCGCAAAAAGTATTTTTTTAACAAAGTAGTCAGGATTTTTTTTAATCTTTTGGTGCTGAGGAAATTTTCAACTTAAACAGTTTCTTGGAAATACAGCATAAAATCCTAGGTTGAGGTTATTTGGTTGAAATGTCTTGATCGGTCCTGAGTTGTTTCTTAATATCTACTAAGGGCTTTAGTGGGCTTATAAAACATTGTCAGACCTACCAATTGGAGTTTATCAAGATTCAGCTCTGGAAAATTAATTTGTTACAGTATTTTTCTTCATTTCTTCCAAAATAGTAATGTGGGTATGTTTATGTATATCATATGATAAATGACTTACTGCATATTTGCTCATGTTTAGCATTAATGCTGATTTAAGCCCACAAATGTTCACAAACTGTCATTTTTACATTGCTTGACAAATAGTGAAAGAAGAGCGAAAAAATATCTGAAACTACACCAAGTAAAACTGAAATCATAATAATTGTTTGGGAAAGTTACATTTCTTCCACAAAATTGTGCTTGGGGAATTATTATCATTATTATTATTATTTAAACCAACCTTTTTTGTGAACCCCTTAAAACAAACAAAGGGGCTAAAATACTGTACAGTAAGAACTAAAAAAAAAACACATTAAGAACATGTGAAAACATTTCACTAACATTAAAAAATGAATCATTAACTTAAGACCATAACCTTACAAGTACAAAAATCTTGAGGAAAGATGTGTTTCGAAAGCATTTTAAATGATGTGGGATAAGGCCCACCTTATGTACTGCAGCAGGGCTGGTCTCCTCCTGACCTGAGTTTGGTTCTCAACACTAGTAATATCAAAATGATTAATTATTTTCAAATATGCCCATTCTTAGGTATTTCAATTCAATTAAATTCAATACAGTTTATTTTTATAGTGCCAATTTACAACATGTCATCATCTACATGTCATCTCAAGGCACTTTACAGAGACAATTCAACCAGATCATACAGTCATATTGGTACTTTTATCCTATATCTTAAATTGAGGAATATTGTTTTTTTTATCTAAGAAAAAACAGCTGATTGCATCGACTCATTGACTCAACAGCAATCCCTCACTCCAAGAATGCTTGTAGCATCAATGGAGAGGAAAAACTCCCTTTTAACACAAAGAAATCTCCAGCAGAACCAGACCCAGTGTGAGCGGCAATTTTCTGAGGGTGACTGGGGTTCAAGGAGACAGAAGCAGACATACAGAAAGAAGCAAAGATACAAAAGGCAACTGTTAACCAGCTCCACAGGTGGTCCAGGAAACACATAGCCAGGCAGACAAGCTCCAATCCAGCTCCCAAGTAAGAGGATGAAGAAAGCACATCCAGTTAGTCACAGTCAGAGAAACAGGACTACACTTAAAAAACAGGCCAAGCTCCAACATCAATAAAAAATAGTGGTGATGGCAGCAGCACAGTTAATATTTCTCTCCAGGAACAGACCAGATGGACTTATACTTTCATTCTATTACATTTCAAAGTCAAATATTCACTACTTTTAAATGCATGTACTTTTGAATACTTGAGTATTTTGAAAGAGAATTTGAAATATTGACCAAAATGTTATCAATAGACACTGTCCTTGTAATAAAAAAATACATAAACAAAATAAATCTGTTTGCACAAAAGAACTGTAAGAATAAACATACCTTTTCTCCACCATTTGCTGCACAATGTGAGATTGAAAGCAACCTTAAGGCTGGGGTAATCTGTTAATTTTGTGTTGTAAGTGTGGCTCCTCCTAATCATTAAAAGCTGCTGTCTTTGTGTGTGTATACAGATTATCAGTCAGATAGCGACAGCTTTAATCCGACACTGTGGGAAGAACAAAGACAGCAGAGAATGACCGTTGCCTTTGACTTTGAGGACAAAAAAGAAGAGGAAGACAACTCTGGGAAGGTCAAGGTCAGCTTTTTGGATTTCTGTTTCTGTTAGTTTCTCTCATCCCCTTCCTAGAATAGCTGATGCTAACATCTTTCAATGCAAATCTTTTATAATACTTATTTATCATTCCTGTTTAATAATAACTGTAACAATAACATAATTCAAATATGATGATGACACTGAATTTGCTGAAATAAATTAGTAAAAATCTTTTCTATGCTTTATTGTAGGTGGAAATAAACTTAAAGCGCTACCCAACCCCATACCCCGAAGATCTGAAAAACATGGTCAAATCAGTGCAGAGTCTTGTGGGTAAAGGCATGCACCCTGGACATGGGCACCAGCATCAGCTGAGCTCAGGCAGCGCCACCTCAGCAGGAACCAACATGGAACATACGCACCTCAGCAAAGAATCATATGAGCCACCATGGCCCCTGCCTCCTAAAGAGGTGAGAACAGCACCAGCCTTTTCAAATGGGATGAGTGCAGAAAGCAGTAGAAATTACCTCATCATTTGATGTCGCAGCCAAAATTCTCTATTGGTTTTAGAAAAAAAATAGATGAGTTTTACCATGAAACTTAAGCCAGACCTGGAGACGAATCATGTGCTTCTGAAAGTTCCCAATCTAAACGCAGTCCTCTCAATGATACAATTGGCAAATGTACTTAAATATCTTCACACTAAATGATAATAACTGAAAAGTCATGGGATATTATGCTTATTTACCAGGTAAAAAAATATACAATCTGGTCACGCTTTAAAGCTTTAACTCATCAGTGTAAGTGCTGGAAGTTTTGGAACACCACAATTCATGGTTTTGATGAGCATTAACATACACTTGGCAGTTTGGTGTCTTAATCATTTACTCTGCTCAGTTGATGCAGGTATTTGATTCATTTGATGGACGAAATGAAACTGTTTGCCAGGTGACTGACAGAGAGATGCAGGACTTCTCTCAGTCTCAGTTAATGGATCAAGGATCAATGCATAACTCTGGCATTGACATTCCCAAGAGGAAGGACAAAGAGGACTTGACAGAGAGCTCTGAGGTACAGCTATTCACACATAACAAGAACAGAGCAAAAACAAACAAGTGTTTGCTTCTGTTTGTTGGAATGCAGGATTTATGCTGTTATTGTAGAAATAAAGAATATCTTTAATAAAATTAATTTCTAAGGAGAGAAAACCTTAGTTCAGATATATTTTTTTCATTTACATCCCTTAGATAAAAAATGTGAATTTTTTCAGTGTTCTTGTAATACTCTGCTCCATTTATTGCATCAAAAACATAAATATCTGGGCATTTCTTAATGTATGTTAATTATTATAGGCAAAAACACTGGTACATGGTAAACAAGCAAGTTCCTTTCCTCATGCTTTACATTTCTTGCATCTGCGACCTTTAATGTAGAATCAATGACATTATATTTCCCTTGCCAATAAATGCAGATCAGTTTGTCTTTTTTACACTAGGTTGCACTGTGCTCTAACTTTGTAAAATGTTGTGCAGTTGGACCAGATTAAGCTCTGTCCTGTTGGCATATGGGGTTTGCAAAAATAAACAGCACAGTTACTAAGTGTAGAGGTGAAATTATTCTAAATATTTCAAACTGAGATATGGTTCAACAATAAAAGATTCCTTTAATTATTATTAATTTTTACATGTGTTAAGACTCAAGCCAATAAATGTGGAGGGTGCTGTAGATATATAACAAAGCTAAGTTGTTTTTTTTTATTGTGTTTTAGGACTCAATGGGTGGTTCTCCGAACGATATCCGTATCTCAGATATGAGGCCAACTCTGGTGGAGCCACCAATGTACAAACCAAAGGTGGTACTGCTGGGGAAGGATAAAAAAGGTACTGTATCATTTTAGAAATATTAGCTGCAACGTAATCACAAAGCTGTAAATTATATTTTAATGTTCCGTTATACTTCAGAGCTGTGAGGCATGAAGCAAAGGTTATTCATTAATTAGTCATATTCTGAGACAGATTCACTTTAACCTATCATAGAGAGAGACAGCAAGAGATGCAGTGAACCTGCAGAGTAGATGTTCGTGTCTGTCTGGTAGTTTTTTTTCTTTTTTTAATTAGGCATATCTGAAGTTATTTACTGTATTTAATTGCAGGGAATTAAGTTAAAAAAAATTTCCTATAACCAATACGCATTTAGTCATTCAATGGAAGCTTCTAAAAGAAAGTTATGTCTTTTCCCCATGACAATTTGTAGTTTCATCAAATAATATAGTCATTTCATGTAGTCAGCACTAGGGAGAACACAATGAAAAAGAAAAAAACCCAAACACCTTGTGTACTTTGCTTAGTATTCCTAATAGGGAAGCTAGTTTGATATGGATGACATTTAACAAAATAATGCAAATACAAATTTCTCAAATTGTTTTTTCCATTCTAGTAATACATTGAAAAAACAAAACATCTCATTTACCAGAAACACCAGTGTTACATTATAACATAGGCCAAACATACAAGTAATATGTTGGATGGACATGTTGCAACTTACTGTATGCATCACACTCACGCAAACACACACACATCGACATTCAGAAATTATGAATGATTTCAAAGTAAATTTTGATGTGGCATTTTATCCACACTTTTATATAATGTCTAAACCTGTTATGTATGCAGGAAGGATGGTGGCTGATTTATTGACTGTTCAGTGTGTTAAAAAAAGATCATAAAATCTGAGCTCACATCCTCAAGAAGGACATTTTTCAAATTATAATTTGAAATATATGTACGTGTTCAACATTTTAGTTTGTTCAAGTTTAGCAGCATAAAACTATTTATTTTATCAACAGCAGTATTATTTAGTTTTTTTAATATTTTGAAGAGAAGTTATTTTCTTTGTGTCTGTCTCCATTCAGAGTCAACAGATGAGGAGGTGGATAAACTCCACTGTCTGAACCACAGTGGTTCCTCAGCCACCTACTCTGACTACTCCCCCTCCCAGGGCTCCTCAGGCTCCTCCAATCCTTCCGCCAACACACACTCTCATGCACACTCACACAATCCTGGCCTGCAGGCCCCAAATAAAGACCAAGCCCCTCAAACACATTGGACCAACAGGTAAATACACCTGTTTCATGTTCTATGTCCTCTTCAGACTTTTCATCTATTATCACATCTTCTCATTTAGTCTAAACCTGACCTCATCTTCTCCATCTATTGTGCATCTCATTCATCTGTCAACTTGATCTATCTTTTATCTTCTCCGTCCCTTTTTGGGCAACCTCCTCCTCTATCTGCTCATGAAGGTTAGAGTGATATGGAAAAACTGCAGATTGCTGCTTAGGATTTTCCTGTGCCAGCTTCTCTGGTTTAGGGATGCTTCCTATGTGGGCTTCACTGATGTTACTGTTTAGAAAGAAACTGCTTTTTATGATTTTTGTGCAGATAGATCAAAAGAAACAGTTATGGTTCCTCTGGCTGTAATGCAATCATATTCTGTAGGTTAACGTATGGTATGTTTTATGTCTGAATTCCTGCAGTAATCGACACAAGAAAAATGGCTTCTTTTTAATTACATGCCAAATTTATTACATGGTAGCCTCGGTCATGCTGCTTAGTTTTAATTTAAGTCTGTCTATGTTGTATGGACATTTTCTCTCTATAAGTGATTTACATTAATTCAAGTAAATCTATTATATCTGCCGATAAAGAATTAAGGTTTTCATAATGCCCTTACAAGATTTTTTTTTTGGTTAAATATCAGCAAGAAGAACTGCACTTTAATTAGTACAATTTCAAATAGCAAACGCTTACTTTTTTAAAATATTTTTCTAAAAGTCATAAACTAAACTCATAGAATTATGGATTTTAATTGGCTTTTTCCATGTCTTCAAAAATGATTCTAAATATTTATACTTTATCCACACACACACATACAGATATATGATATTCAGGATTAAAACATTAACCTCATTAGATTTCAGGGGCAAGTATCCATATCAGATGTATGTATTTAAATTAAGGAATGAAAACTGCTAATTTAAATCAAATTTGTCCAAACAACAATGGTGGGATCGCTAAAAAAAATACAAAATATTCACAATTTCTGCTTCTAATAATCCTTATTTTTGTGAATTTAGTAGCAAATTGGACCTTGAAGATAGTTTTCTTTTCTGCTTCATATTGACATCTTGGAAATGAAAGAAACTGTAGTTGAAAAGTTGATTTACTAGGAACATGACTTCTTAGAAATACTCTGATTCATACATCCCTCTTTTACTTAGGCCTTGTGTTTCTTGTATTTGCCATTTTACAATGTTTTCATGATTTATGTCTTTATTATTTTCTGATAAAGGAGGTTAAAGGCATTTCCTTTGGCATTCGCCCTCTGGGATATCCAATTACCCTAAACATAGTCCTTTGCTCAGTTGAATTTTAGGAGTGGTTTTACAAAGATAGAGATAAAGTCCTGTTTCTAGCACCTGTAGGTTTGTTTTTTTACACAACACATACAAATGTCACATGGTATTTTTAGTATAATCTGGTTCTTTTTTAATTGTTCTCTTTTTAATTAACTGCCAATATGTTTTATTTTGCAGACTTGCCCAGTCATTTCCAAAGCCTATTGACTCCAAACCCCTACTGTCTCAGAGAGAAACTCCTCCATCAGGAACCCTGCAGCAACGGGGAGATCGGCGTCCGCTCAGCGAGCCTTTTGATTGGTCTGAGGCTCAACACTATGATAACACAGGTTTTGATGCTGAGGAATCTCCTATGGACCCTCCATCCTCTAATACAAGTCAGGGTAACCCTCCTCTGGGCTCCAAACCCCGCAGTCAGTCAGCACATGGCCGCCGGCCGCTTCTCAGGCAAGATCGGATTGTAGGAGTCCCTTTGGAGCTGGATACCCAGACACTCCCCTACCACGGTAACCAACGTTCAAATGCGGATAATGACCATCAGTCCTCTGGACCTCCCTCCCAGAACCCCTGGCAGAACTGGACCAGAACTCCCAGCCCTTTGGAGGACAGAACCGCTTTCCCCTCGAAGCTGGACCTGACACCCACCTCAAGCCCCAACCCTGATCGTAAAGACATTGACTCAAGGTGAGTAACTGAGAATTTGCTGAGAAGTGTTGTTACATCTTAAAACTGTTGGAGAACAACAGACACTCACAACATTTACTCAGCCATAATGAATATTGACATAGCAATAAAATTACTCTCATAGACAATTTAAACAGAAGCAGGCCTGCTTTTTGCTGTCTTCATTGATATAGTCAATTTTATAACTCCCTGATTTTTATTTTAAGACTGGAACAAGGCTCAGGACCTCTGCCTGGAAGCTGGACATATCACAACAGTCAGGGGGAGCAGATCAGGAAGGATCAGCTCAGTGTTGGTGGAGGAAACAAAGTAACAGTGGTGATGAGTAAAAGCTCAGACCGACTCTCTCCAATGATGAGGGAGACGAGATCCAAGTTTAAGAAGTCCCAGAGTATAGATGAGATTGACATTGGCTCCTACAAAGTCTACAGGTAAGTTCAGGACCCATATTAACTCATCAAATCAAAAGTCTCCCTCCTGCCACTTAGAGATTTCCCAAAGTTTTCAGCTGTTGATAATGATACCTAAGAATTCTGATTTTATTTTGCCACAGCATTAAGCAACATTATTTTAAGTATTTTTTCTAGTCCTCCATAAACTGCAATTAATAGAAGATTAGTGTTATCATTTTGACAAGAGGAAACGTTCCAACAGGTGTTTGTGAGAAAGAGCAGGGAATTCTCACGGAAATCTCTTTTTTCATTTTGGAATGATGTTTAAAACTGCTAAATTTCAGTGCTCCCTGCTGAAGTAACTCATTATCTCAAGAAAGCATTTTCTGTTTTTTTTTAACCTCTTACGTGTGAATCTTTCACCGATCATGACAAGGATCTGATTATCTAGGTTGCAGATTGGTAGATTTAGGTCCCCCAAATGAAATTGTGGTGCAGCTTGTGATGTTCTTAAGTATTTTGGTTCCAGTTGTTCATTTTTCCTCATAGTATTCCTATGGAAAGCTACAGTTCATCCATTGAACAGCAGACTAGTTTGGACCGTCAAGAGCTCCCTGGTTCCATGGAGCAGACCAGCATGTCAAGGTCACAGTCTGCACCCATGTTAGACGATGAGATGGGCTTCCCAGGACATGGAGGTAGCAGCCAGAATCAGTCTGGACAAAATCAGAAACCTACCATTCCTCACAAGGCCTATCACTTTGACCAAAACTACAACCCCCAGGTAAGATACCATTTTTATATATATGACTTTGTATTAGAAACATATCAAATAACATTGATTTTCAACAAATTTCTAATTAAAAAATGCTAATATGGGGTAACTTCGTGTAATTATAATAAGATTTTAGATTTTGAATGAAAAATGCATGACATTTTTATAATGACTCATTGATGAACCTTCTATCCAATCAGATGACCATAGATCGCAGAATCCCTCCCCCCTTCCCTAACACACCAGATTATGTTAACCACTCATCAAAGGCCATGGATTACTTGAGTCAGCCTGGGAAGACACTACCCAAGGAGCTTGTGAGTCCTCGTTATCGTGCGTATCCACCACTGGAGATGTTTTCATTCCCCCAAGGCCCAATCAACCAGGACGGTTCCCACAGCCAGCAGCAGCAGCAGCAAACTATCTCAACTCAGCGCTCCAGGCCAGGCTTTTTGAGGAGAGCTGATTCTTTGGTAAGCTCTACAGAGCTTGCCTTATTTCGTAGAGTTCATGAAGCCCAGCAGGAGGCGCTACAAGAAGCTCAGTACAAGCAGCAGGTAGGAGCGATTACTGAAGAAAATGTATCTTTATAAATCATTGTTAACATATAAATCATCATAAAAAGGTTTATATTAAACCAGAGATTACATATTCTACCAATATATCAAATATTCTCTGGTACTGTATTTTTTTAAATTTAGGTCATTCCTGAAAATAATACAAAAAACTATGGTCAGCCTTTTTATGTCGTTGAACAAATATATTCTTCGGATTGTTGGCTATTTGATTGATTATATATATTATGGTAATACTAATTTGTACATTCGCTATACATTACAACTTTCTTTTTTCTTGGACAAACCTATTTACAGTTAGATATATATTTAATGCATTCTTTTTTAATTGATTAGTTTAATTTCTACTACTCATTTGATAATAAAAGTTTTGTGCACCAAAATTTAAAATAAAGAGGAAAACAATCTGATATTTCTAATTTGAAATTTGTTGGTTGATAACTGTCCTTTTTCTTATATTCTCAGACGGACCCCCCTCATTATAGTCGGGCTCTTGCCTATTCCTCCCCCATGGAACACTCTGCCCTGACCAACATGTCTGACAACCAAAACCAAATGATGCACAACAAGAGAAACGGTCGCTATGATGATGACTATACCACATACCAGGAGCAGAAGAAGCCCATGATTGGTTATCCGACCAAAAGTCTGACTCAGCGTCGCCCCCTGTCAGCTAGGAGCTACAGTACTGAAACCTATGGAGCATCTCAGGTGACACTCAGAACACTTTAGCTCTTCAGAAATTATATATAATTTTAGTAATTCCAAATCAAAAAAACTTATATTAAAAGTATTTGCTTGTTAGTGACAACTTATCTCACTGATAATTATGCTATTTATACCTCTTGTAAATTAAATAATTGTTGTTTCCAACAGCTTTTAATAAAAAAAAATAATAATAATAATATGGAAAAGAGAAAGATGTATAAAGATAATACTGGACTTTTACAGGGAAATTTACTTATTTTAAAGCCACTTTACATTTTTGTTTGGTATAGAGCTAGAAGTATTTATGATTCTTTGGGATTTGCCCAGAGTTGACTAAGACAACTGTTAATTACAATGGCTTTAAAAAGAAGGGTAAACTGTTATATTTATGTGGGAGTGGTAGGTTAAAAAGATTGACGTTTTTTTTAAACAAATGCATTATTTAAAAGTGGTTGTTTGTGATATCATATGGCTGATGTTCTAGTGCCCACACATTGGTTTGTTGGGTAGCTTAATGGATTCTGCAGCAAAACCTCCCCCACCCATGAGCGATTTAATTGGTCCAGGAGTCATAGATAGATAGATGGATTGATACATGGAAAGAAAACACACTAAACCTACGAGTAAATTTTTGTTTCCTTTTTTAGTATGTAGAATATTTTCTGAGCCACATTTCAGGAGAAAGGATAAGTTAAAATGTTGAAAAGTTTTTGAGGTAAATTCCAGCATTTTCCCCGGATTTTCGATTTTAGAAAGCTAGATAGCCGTAATCTTAACTCAATTTGTGAAATACCTCCAGTCAGTAGCAGGACTTCTTGAAGTTAACCCGAGTCTGTTGCACATTTGAGCTGAGATCAGATACAAGAAAAGGGTAAGAAATAGTGTAATTTACTGCAAGCACTGTAGATGTTGGAGAGCAAATGCTCATTACTTTCCACACAATATGATGCATTTTTAATATGGATTTATTCATCCCCGTTTTCGCCAGTGTCAAATATCTCAATTCAATTTCAGCTTATATGACACAACGATGACAAGTTCTATGTGCAGTCTTTTTTTATGTTGAAGAAACTGCCCGGGATTAAGAGTTAAACGGTTACCATACAGTTCAAATGCCCGTCAGATCAATCACAATTTAAGCAAATTGCTATCCTTTTCTTTTAAAAGAGAGGAGAGTTTTACTTTCTGCAGTGCAGTGGGGGTTTGAATCCAAACTGGTATTGCAGCACTCAACAAGTTTCTTTTTCCTCTTCAATCATCAAAAAGATTTGTTTTTATTTACCAGCTGTGCTTTGCAAATATATAAGCTCCAGTTTTGTGGTGAAACTTTATAGCAAATCCACAAGACATCACAGAACTGCAGGTATCAGATGGTTGCTATCACATTTTGAGATGTCATTGATATTTTTTGGGGTTCCCAGGCATAATTGAAAACATATATCGTTTTGCATTCATGAAATATAGATGTTATCTTTTCTTTCCTAATATTATTAGGATATTTTTCATTAAGCATGTTTTCATGCTTTCTTGGAAATATAACTTGTACTGCTATTTCAAAGGGAGGGATGGAAGAGATTTCAGTTTCAGTTGCATCTCTGCAGTTTTTCATATTAAGTCATGAACTATGGTTTAACTTCTTATTTATTAATTATATTGTTTTGAATAAGGCTAATGAAGGCCATGTAATTAATAGGTAAAGGTTAAATATGATAATTTTTGAAAACTGTACAAGACGGTCTGCAGGGACCGGGACCTTTGAGTTCCATGAAAATTAGGAGGTCGAAAGAGTTTTGGCTATTGATTTAAACTGGTCCAGCTTTATCTGGCATTTACCCCCCCATACATGCTGTTGCCTAGCAACCGTTACAGTTGACACACAAATCAGGTAAAGAATGGATGCCAAACTCCTCATTATTGTTCTGGGTGCTACTGTTCTTCCTGAAGTCAACAATGATCTTCTTCGTCTTCTCCACGTTCAGGATCAGGCTGTTATCTTTGCACCAGTCTACCAGTTGATCCAACTCCTCTCTGTAGTCCTGGCAATAGTCGTCTCTGATGAGGCCCACCACTGTGGTGTCGTCTGCAAACTTCACAATATAATTGGTGGTGAACCTGGGGATGTAGTCGTGTGACATCAGAGTGGGCTCAGGGGGCAGGGGGCTCAGGACTCAGTCCTAAGGGGAGCCTGTGCTTAGAGTAATGGCATCAGAGGTGTTCTGTCCGATCTGGACTGAGTGAGGTCTGTTTGTGATGAAATCTAAATGCCACTTGCAGAGGGGTGTATTGAAGCCCAACTGTTCCAGTTTGCCTATTAGATTCTGTGGGATGATGATGTTAAAAGCTTGAAAGCTGAGCTGAAGTCCTGGAACATCATCCACATGTGGGTGTTCTTCTCCTCCAGGTGTGCCAGGCTCAGGTGAAGAGCAGAGGAGGTGGCGTCCTCAGTGGAGCAGTTCTGTCAGTAGGCAAACTGGGACAGGTCGAATGTTGGGGGTAGACTGGAGATGAAATGTTCTTTAACCAGCTTTTTGAAGCACTTGATCATGATGGGAGTCAGTGCGACAGGCCAGTAATCATTAAATGAGGTGACCTGAGGTTTCTTTGGGAGCGGAATGATGGTGGCAGACTTAAAGCATGCTGGTACTATGATGCAACCCAAACTGTTCTAAGAGCAATATTGGACCAAAAAAAAAAACAAACAAAAAACAAACACCTTTGATTTTAGAGTAAACCAGGTCTAAAGTGTTTACACCCTGAGTTGCAAAGTCCACATGTTGGTAAAAGTAAGGGAGCACAGTCTTCAAGTTAGACTGGTTAAAATCCCCTGCAATGATGAAAACGCCCTGTGCGTGCAGATAGCCTGGTATAGAGTCTTCATGGGCTCTTATGTATTAGTGCTGGGGGGCACGCAAACAGCAGTGATGCTAATCCCACTGAACTCTCTGGGCAGATCGAGCTGTCTGCAGTTAACTGTCAGAAACTTGATTTCCGGAGAGCAGAAGCTGGCAACTGATCTAGAATTTTTACACCAGCTGTTGTTTACATGCACATACATCCCCCTTTCCAGCCCCCTAGTCTTACTGCCGAGCTCTCAGTTTCTATCAGCGCGGTATAACGAGAACCCCTGCAAGCTAATAGCATTGTCTGGTATTGATGAAGCCATGATTCAGTCAGGATGATGGCACAGCAGTTACTACACTCCTTTTTTTAAGAGAGATCAAGTATTAACCATTTTGTTACATCCGTCCGAAGAACTCCACAACCTTTAAAACAGCCAAGAGTGGCTGTATTTAAGAGTCCAGAGACTACATTTTGTGACCGATGCTCCAGCAGGCTCTGGCGGTTGTAGATGCAATATCGATGCCTAATTTATAGCGTTCTAATCGGCGTATTTTGTGTTTGTCTGGAGCTGTAGCACGCCCCTGCTTTCAGGCGTAGCCATCTTGGTTAACCTGCATTGATTGAAAAAATATACTTTATTAATCCCAAACAGAAATGCAGGACATTTAAACCAAATGGTTACAAAATCAAAGATTGGTTTTAACATCAAAATGTGTTTAAAATCTGTCATCATCTGTCATGAAACCTAATAGATACTATGTATTTACTGTATACAAACATAAGCACACAGACAGAAAAAATCCTACAATGTGATTTGCTGGAATTTTTGACAATTACAGAGTAGGAGAACTTGCACACTTGCCCCACTGTATGCATGGGTGTGTGTGTTATTTTATTTGATCAATTGTAGGCATGGAAACTGAGGAATTGCTGTTTTAGAGTGAGGGGTCACGTTTAGAAGCAATGTATGAATTAAATTTAGTATGGGCTTAGGGTTAGGTATGAACCCATAGTGGTTAGGTCAGGGTGAGGGTCAGTTAGGCTGTAGAAATAGGTTAGAAATGAACAGAAGTTAATGGAAAGGACCTGCAGAAATGGAGAGGCATGTTATGGGCGTGTGATACCTGGAATAGAAAGCTTAAATATCTGCTGTATATTCAACAACATAAGTTAAACTACAGTAGTAAATTCATTAAAATCCATGATCTCATAGAAGTATATGGAGTTGCTCATGAATTAAATGGAAAGGCGTGGATGTGGCCTATTTTGGCAGAGAAGTTGAATGATTTAGGATTACAAAAAAATGTTTGTTTAAATCCTTTTCTTGTGATTGCCTTTATCTACGGTAAGTAGTATGCATAGTACAGATAGTGTTCTTGTTTTCAAGATATCCCCTCATTTATGAGTAATGCTTTCAGGATATTATGGGTGAGTTTTAAGGCTGATGTTCTTAAAATAGCTAAAGAGGTGTGTCCAACAGCATTCCTGATTAGATGTGCAAAGCATTTCATCTGGTGTCGTTCAGGATGACACAAGCTTGAAAAGCTATAAAGTAGTTTTATGGTTCTTACCTTACTGTTTAATAACTTTTGGAAAAACTCATAATATATGTTTTTAGTGCAGTGCCTGACAAGTTAATTTAGTTTAAACTCAGAAATACCTGGCTTCATTCCAGACTTTTTGCTTCTCTTCTTTTGGCTTGTATTATGATACTTTACCACAAATCAGGCCCGTCCGGTGTCAGCTCGTCCAACCATGGCTGCTTTGCTGGAGAAGATGCCACCCGACTACACTTTGGCAACATGTCCTGAGAAACCGTCTGAGGACACCATCAAAGTTAGACCTGGTGTGCAGCCGAAACCAGAGGACATCACTTCAAAGATGCCAGCTGACTGGAGGCAACAACTTCTTAGGCACATAGAGGCCAAACGATTGGACAGGGTACGTCTGTGCAATGCAGATACTTTAGAGAAAAAAGAATCACATCACTCACACATACATATGAATATACAGCACAGAAGCCCTTCCTGTCTGTATCAGTGTAAGTTTGTGTTTTAAGGTTGACAAGATTTGTTTTCAGCTGCATGTGTGTCCCCTCCACACTGTCGCTGTGTCAGCCTGATCAACCGCACACTCACCAAAGGATATGTGCTTTGAAAAGTCACATTCCGTTACATTCAGTTCAGCAAAATCTCCATTCTATTATACAGACTTATTTTGTGTGTGTCATGTTTTCTTATTCATTTTTTTCAAACAAGTGAAAAGTTACCAAAATTACTGGTAATTAAAGATTGTGTTAGAAAAGTATGCTGATGTTAATCACTGATATTTCTTTATAATTTCCACTTGTTTGAAAAAAGACAAAAGATCCTATGAATCACAGTCATTATAAAATATGAGGAGATTTTGTCTTGACACATATCTAAAACACAGATATTAACAAAGGATAATCTTTCAAGTTTTTTCCAATTATTTTTCATGACAGTTGATACTCTTTTTTTTAAAGCTGATAAAATGAACCAGCAACCAAATGAAAACCTGTACCTAACTGTCCAAATATAAGGCATTTCTCTACAGCTAAGCCCAAAATGAACTTTTCCATATCCCAGGCAGATTTAATTATAACTAATATGATAGGTTTCCTCCAAAGAAAACAAATCAATTAGCTTATTTTAAATGCCAAACTAATTATGATCTTTCTGATTTTTCTATCGCCATTAAATCTAATGCTCCTAAGAGATCTAGAAAAAAACAAGATTAAGACAACAATGAAGTCAATACTGTTATCCAGTCGCCAAAACGTAAAGCACAAGAAAAAAATGTTTTTAACATTTTTTACAAAGTTTGAAGGATACAATTCTTATTTACGTATTAAGCTAAGTATATGTTGCTTTATTTTCATATTTCAGTCTGAAGGCTTGGATATAATTGCTGGAATGAACTGATCCACTTCTTGTTGCTTGTATGACAATGTTTTGTGTGTATTGACCGATCACTAGCTAACATTTTTCTGTGCTTTCAGCAAATCTGCACTCTTGTTGTTGTTTTCTTATAAGTGTTACTGTTGTTGTTTGTATATTTGGTTCCGTGGAGCTATGCTGGCTCGCTGTGTTGGCTCCACCCACCCCCCTCCCCCCGTCATTCACCCATGTCATGTGATGTTGTCTTCTCCAATCAGAGTGGTGTCCTAAAGCACAACACGCTCACGCTGGGCATGCTCTATCAGGGTCACGGCCAGGGGCGCAGCACCACTTTGAACTTTAACCTTTATAATAACACTAGGCATGAGCCCCCTGCTGGCCGCTGGCTGCCACTACCTCCTCCTCCATCTGCCATCACCGTGAGTATCCCTATGAGAGTACTGAAACCCTGGTTACAATTACTTCACACAAATAATAACAGAGAGCTAGAAGGAGCCAAGACCATTTGTCTTTTTAACCCCATGCAATTTTTTTTTTACAGGTTTTTTGGTATTTTAAAACTTGCTTTTATTCAAATACCAGAAGAGTCCTGATACAGCTTATTGTATTAATGTTTCCTAAACAGGATTTCTTTGAATCACCCAAATATCTAGCAGCTTATAGACAGCAGTTTTGACATATTACAATGTTGAAAATTGGTCAGCTGGAAGTAAAAATGATTATGCATCAATTTCCTACACTATTTTCAGTTGTTACAATGTTTGTAATATGGACATTCTTTTGAATGATCTTGCCAAATGTGAGAATAGCCCAACTCTTAGCATTCTTAGAAGTGCATTTGCCTCAGAAAGGTTAAGAAATATTAGCACACCAGTCAAGGAAGAATAATCTATGGCAAATAGAAATGTAACACACTGGTGAAGGATTAGCATTACATTTCTGCAAGGCAGTTTATCAGGTGGTCCCTCAAGGTTACAGAAAAAAAGATGTAGACTTGAGTAAAAACATTTTAAAAGAAAAATATACTTATAATTGTTATTTGTTACCAGATTACCTAAAGTTAAGACCTAGTTTCCACACCCTTCTGCTCTACATACAAACAAGGTTTCTGAAAGATCATCTTACCAAGTATTGATCGCTCCTATGGACATCTAAGCTTCAATGAAATAATTGCATATTCTCAAATGTTGGATATAAAGGTTTTGATCAAAAGTTTTGGTTAAGTCTTTTTGTAACAATAGTCAGAAGTCCTAATTGTCAGAGGTGTCAGTCTTCCTTCCATGTTGACATATGCTTATTAAGATAATTAACTGATTTTTGGTCAAAATATGTTGTTATATCCCTGTTCCTGTTGAAAGAGAATATCTTACCAACTTTAACTCAGGAGAATAACCCTACTCCTTTTGGTGTTTCCCTGTCTCTGCATTCCTCAGACACCTTCCCAGCAGGCTGCAATGCTGGATAATGACCAGGAGGAGGTCCCAGGGAGCAACCAGTGGGCTCCCTACTCTCTTGGTCGAAGAGACGTTCCTCCAGAGAACCTCATGAAAAAGGTAAGAGGTTAATGACGCAGATATGCTTTGAATTTTATTTTTAAGCCTTTGAAATGTTCTGATCATAGATGAAAAACGTTGATTTTAGATCAGTCAAACTGGTGAGTGGTAACATAGGTGTGATCATGACTAAGTGGAAAGTCATCTGTCTTCCATGTCTCTTTTTTCCACAGGGTGGACATTCACACAACTCCTCACATCAGTCACACAACACCATGATCGTCACCTCCACCTCTTCCTCCTCGTCCACTGTGCCGCATCGTGTCGTTGGGCAGCAGGTTTATGATGGGATGATGAACAAGGGTGGGCAATACCAGCAAGGAATGTCCCTGTCAGTAGTACCTGCTGGTGGCCCTGGGCAGTACCAAGGCAATGTTTCACAGGGTAAACAAAAAAATGACTTCATATTTAAAGGTTTGATATGTTAAATAACATGGAATGTGACAAAAAAATAAAACTTTTGAAGCAAAACAGATTATTGCTAAATTATATCATGTTTGATGTCCATGAAGCATTTTATTTAATACAAAGTATTTAATTGTAAAGTGGAAGAAAAACAATCCATTGTTTTCTAACCTTAATTAGCTTCCCAAATCAAAGTTAAGACTCCCTTAAAATATAGAATTGTTGCAAAATTTCAAAATTGATGATCGCTAACAAAACCCATCCAATCTGCCTAGACCTTACTTTATCTATTTTGCAAAACAAAAACAAGCACAGTATCTTAATGCCAAGCTGGAGGAGACATTCCCCAAAAGTCTTGCGGTTTTAATTCCAGCAAAAGGTTGTTTAACAATCTATTGAGGCACTTAACACAGATACTGTACAGGGCAAACTTTTCATCAGTTTGGTAAAAAAATGATCATCCTTTGTTTTACTTCCAGTTTACAAGCTTGTTTACTACGTATGAGTAAAAAAAGACACAACATGGATGTTTTGTATGAAACCAAATACCTGTTTAGTTTAAATGCCCAGTTTATTTTTTACTCTAGCCAATAAAAGTGTTGGGGACCACTTCTAAAGCTGTAGTCAATATTATAGTTTTTATTACAATACAATGAGCCGAATAAATTGGGCAATCTACCTTGATCACACATATTCAATTATAAAAAAAAAAAAAGATATACTTTATGAAAGAATGATTGAAATAGTGCTTTATGAAAAATATATTTCTAGAAATCATGTGACGTAATCAGTGAATGTCACAAACTTTTTTTTTTGCCATAGAAAACAAAGTTTAGTCTAAGAGACAAAGGCAAGTTTATGGTACCAAAGGTTAAAAAAGTGTTAAAACAGAAATATTTGTCTGCTCTTTGAGTTCAATTCTGGAATACTGTTAGCAAAGAAAAAAAACTGTAATTCATTATTCCTTCTTAAAAAGAAAATATTTTGACCAGTTTAACATCACTTAACGATGAATAAAGTTTCAAAATGTTTCTTTCTATAGTTGAATTTTGCAGGTTTAGATTTCGGCATATAAGCATTATGCTTCTGCCCTTTTTTTGTTAAGTTTTGGTACTTATGATTTTTCTCATGTGCACATATGATGCATTATTTATATCTTTTGGCTAAATAAGTTGTTGTAACTGCATTATATTAGGTTTAATATAGTCTTGATGAATGTAAGGTCTAAAAACATCAGGTAAGAAGTCCAATTTTGTTTCTTTGTTTTCTGCAGCTCTTTCTTCCTCTGGCCAGGCTTATCCGAGTAGTGGCCTGCCCATGGCCCTGTCATCGTCTGGAAACCAATCTCAATACAACCCTCACTCCTCCCATCAGTCCTCCATGCCTGCAACCAATCCACAGTATCATGTCAATCAAGGCATGGTCCACAGCAACCAGTCCGTCATGGCTTCCCACAACAACCCGAGACCTCAGAGTGCTCGATGTCTGCTACAAACTAAAGGCCAGAAAAGCATGGATGGTTACCAAGAGCAGGTATGTCTGCCTCTCCAGCTGCTTCTCTTAGCCAGTCATGTCAGATGCTTGTAAAAGGACTATGCTAGTGCCAGTTGTTTTCTAAAGGATCAAAGTTAATCTAGGCTGTCTCCTACTGACGACACAAGCAAAGGCATAATTGTTTATCACACAGCAAATAGTTTAATAGAATGCAGGATGTTTAGCGATGACATTTGGATACTATGAAAGAGATTTAATGCCCTTTATCAAAGTCATTGCATTAATAAACAAGCTACTAATATTGACAAAATGTGGAGATGATTAGGTCATCCAAATGTAAGTTAGCATCGCAGAACCACAGTTCTAATTAGAAACATTTCACAGATGGAGATCATTGTTCCAGTCTAGAAAAGAACATGAAGTCATTTACACCAGTCTGTACAGCGATCAGCTACTAGGGTTTTTGTTTCCCCCCCTTCCTTGCAATAGATGGTCTCTATTATGCCAATAGTAAAACTCTGACAGCGTTATTTGTGGCATTGCTGTTCTTGCCAGAGAGAGGATGACTTCGTAACCACTGCCAAAAATGTTTTCCACATATAAATTTACTCTGCGCATATGAATCAGTTTTCACAATCTATGTATTTCACTTTCCCCGGTCTCTCCCTTTGTTTGTTTTTTTTCTCTCCTCTTCCTGCATAGTTGTGTGTGAGAATAGAGAAGAACCCCGGCCTTGGCTTCAGTATCTCTGGTGGCATCAGTGGCCAGGGGAACCCCTTCAAACCCTCCGACATGGTACGACCTGACCCAGCCTGTCAGCCAATCACAGCCTTCTTCGCTTTACTTCAGCGTTGCTATGGAAACTGCTGCTCGTTACCGCAGTGTTTCTTTTTTCTGTCTGTGAGGCAGATTCTGACTTAGTTAACTCAGTTTAGATTTTGCTGTTTGAAAACAGTCCTTGAAATAAGGTTACTGTGTTGCAATTGGTGAAAACACATAAACACGAACAAATTGACTGCATTTCTTGAAAATTTAACTCAGATTTATGAAGTAGTTCGAAAAACCTTTAAAAGTGATACCTAAGAATTGCATTGGGGTTTTTTTCTATCCAGCAGCCATAGGTCTGTGGTTTGTTATCTGCTTAGTGAAGTCACAACAGTTTCAACTGAGTTGTAACATCATCAGACTTGTACAAATCTAACAACATATGCCAAACCCTTTCATCAATGTAACTGAGCCTGTCAGCGTCTGCATCAAAAGTCTGTTGGGGTTGTAGATCCCAGAGGCCTGATCTACAAGGCAAGTTGTCCTAGAAACATACGTCTTAAGTCAGTCTAAAGACGTGAGATGCTGCACACAAAAAGCTCCATTTGCTATTTTTAGTTGCCTGCTTAGTTCTGGGACACTGTGGGGGATTTTAGATGTTCCATGCTTTGATTCAAGAATGGAAGGTGTGAAACTTTATTCTGAGCAAAAACTGACAAGACAGCCTACAGTATCTATCAAGAAAAGCTTGTAAAGAGAGAGTCTTTTAAACATTAATTTTCCATATAGCCACTGGGACGAATTGTAAAGTCTAACCATTAATGTAGAAATAAAACCTTTGTCTTAAGATAAAGATGGTGGGGATGTTGCTGATTCAAGCAGTTATTTTATAGGAGCTAATATACTTGTATCCATAAAGCTTTCTGCAAGTTTTAATTTGCCCATTATAAATCCCGTGATAAAGAGAATATGAAGATCATCTATGCAGCATTTTTTCACAGTGTTAGAATATTTTAATTTTTTATCACGTTGGAACAAAAGGTTTAAAAATATTAAGACTAAAAATAGAAGATTGTGAAGTTGAAGGAGCATGAGGGATTATTTAATTTCTTATTAAAAATATGAGTGTTGGATGCATGTTGTTAGGACCCTTTATTAGGACACACCTAAATCATATTGGTTGCATATTCAGTGCAACCAAATGCTTTAGGGTTCACATATGTGTAATTTCTTTTTCTGGATGTAAAACCGTCTTAAAGACACCTGAAGCTTTGGACAGTACTCCATCGACAGAATCTGTGTATAAGATAACTGCAAGTTTTACGCTCTACCAAAAACTGACTTAATGGAAGAGGGGCATCAAGATAACAGTGTTAAACGAAAGCCAAAAGAAACATAATGTTAAGTTATCCACCAGTCACAAAAGGGATTGGTCAAATACTAAAAGTTTCTGTGTTTGTCAAATGACTAATAGTGCTTAACATCCATAGAAAACCAGCCATAATAATATAGCAGCATCAAACTATGGGATAATTTACTTTAGGAGTGGTTTACTTGCAAAACTCCCTACCTTAATTGAATTCTGTTTTATTGATCCGCATAGCAAACATCTTTACACCTGATGTTGCAAACATTGAATATCATCTAAAATAAGACTACTAGGTTTGGTAAAATGGCCAGACCGTGAGTATGAATTATTAGAAATAGTTCACAAAATAATATATCAGTACTACAGTTCATGGGCTATATGCACAACTCCACTACTTCCTGAACTTAAGGCAGCTCCTCTGTTTCCTGTTTTTCATTACTGGGTGAACTGATTAATCCAGGTCTGTCTGACCATGGTTATTGAGGTCAGGCACACCTAGATTAATTCAGCAGAAAAAAACATGAAACAAAAGAGATGCCTTAAGTTAAAAAAAATAGTGGAGTAGTGCACAGAGCCCATTACAAAAATCAAAAATGCAGAAAAGGTAGTGTGATAGCTCCCTCTAGTTGTAAACTTGTTTTTTGCTTTGGGTTGACATAAGGGGAATAGAACATAATAGAATAGAACAGAATTGTAATAATGAATAATTGTACACCTACATTGAAAAGGATTTTGTATTTTAACGAACAACTGGTTAATAAGAAATAGAGTGTAAATGCTAGCTGTAAAAATGTCACTTAAATTCTATTAAAATTAATCTATGAGTAAAATCTAAAACCTAATAAATTTTTTACTGTCAGGTTCATTGATAACACTCGTTAGAAGTCCTTATAAGTGCCTGAACAGAACAAACAATAATCCTCTAAAATTTACTTTAAAAGGCTAGCAGAGGCTCCTTAAACCACTGAGTTAGTTTCAGCTTCTGGCTAATTAGACCTCAGTGAGAAGAAAGTTTGCTGTTTTTTTTCCCCCAGTGACTAGATAGAGAATGTAGGCTTTGTATGAAAAAAAAAGTTTTCTTTTTTACTCAAACTATACTTATATAACTCGTGTAGTATCCCCCACATGTATTTTTTTTTCTTAAAAATATATATATTTTTTACTTAATAATGTCATCAACTATTCTGAATAAAAGGAGATTGTTGACAAAAAAAGAATAGCATCTGTCAGAAAAATCAAAATGGTTTAGCACTGGGTTTTAAGTTGGACATCTTTGCAAATTACAATAGAAATTATTACCTTTATGAACATTTCACGGTGTTACCTTTATGAACATTTCAGTGTTGTAGCTCTGTGTGCAACTTTTATTGTTTTGTTTTTTCTGTGCAAATTATTTAACTGTTGTCTCTAATATCACATTATCTCAGCTAAAAACATATTCACTTAATATATACCATGAGCTTTATACAATCACATATGAATTGACTCAGAGAGTTGTCTTTTCAAAAGTCTGCATGGCAAATTAATCCGGTTTGTCACAAGATCATTCAGATATCTTACTGTATGTATGAGGCTCATGGTACAGTTGATACCTATTCGTGTCTAATGCTGTTTAGTTACTGTAGTGTCCTGGATGCTGCACACATCACTACTGCATTATGTTTTTGGTTCTCTTCTTCACTCCTCAATGGCACATTTATATGTGTAGCTTACTAATCTGTGCTCAACATGTAAGCTGCCTGTTGAACCACATGGAGTGATACAGCTGCATTGTCTGACACATCTGTGTTCAAAAACATCTTTCAACTCTCGGTGAAAAGATGTTGGTGTTTTTACAATCTCTGCCTTGGGTAATTGAGAAAAACAGGGGGGGTGTTACTGGTGATATGTATTTTTTATTTTATTTTAAAAGTCAAAACCCATCAGACAGCTATTTTCTTCTTATATTATTTAAGTATATTCTTTTTTGTTTAATTTGCTGCATTTTAATTTCTAGTCCAGCGGTTCTCAATACTGGTCCTCACCTGGACCACTGCCTTGCATGCTTTAGGTGTTTATTTGCTGCCACACACCTGTCTTATATAAGTGAATGATTGCCAGGCATCTGCAGCTTCTGAGGTGTTCATGCAACCTTTTGAATAAAGTGAGCTAAAACAGAGAGACACCTAAAACATACAGGGCAGTATTCCCTCCCAACCAGGAATGAGAACATATTACAAACCATCTCTCAGTGGTTCCCAACCTTGTTCCAAGTACCCCTGTCCAGCAGGGTTTATGAGACTCCTTGCTGCCACACACCTGACTTACATATGAATAAGTAATTATTAGGCTTCTGCTGCACTTAACATCTGCTGAGGAGGTCATCATTCTAGAATCCAGCTGCTTAACATGGCTGCGCATTGAAGTAGCTCTGCTACATTGACTCTGATATAAAATATTCTTTCTGTCATGATTTGTGGACATTAAGATCTAAAAAGAAGTGTTATCTCCTAGTCTGATCCTGTAATTCAGTGAAAGGTTGTAGTCAAATTAAAAAAGTATGCAAGAGGGGTTCACTCCAGTTGCTGGTAGTTGGAGGGGATTTTGCTGGGAGTTGGAGGGAAGTGGGCTGCCATTCAGATGGCATTTGACTGGCAAGGTCCATTTTCAATGGCTGCTAATGTACATCTCTGCACTAAGACCTCTTCTTAGGAAATTGTATCACAATCTTGTTTTACTCTGCTCAGAGTTTTTGCCCCTTTAGAAGAGACAACCAGCATTCAAAATAATAATATAAGAAGATGGTCGCAGGAAGCTGAAGAAGATTGTTTTTAGGCTGCATACTGGGATGCACTGTGTCAGCCTCTGGAGAGGAAATTAAGGCAATGACTGAGTGTGTGACTGACTACATAAACTTCTCTCTGGAATAACACCATTCCTACTAGAGCAGTGAAATGCTTCCGAAATAATAATGTTAACCATGGATCTCAAGTGATTTGAAGGAACTGCTCAATAAGAAAAAACAAGCTTTCTGGAAGGGAGACTGGTTATTATTAAGGAGTATAAAGAAGCAACTTAAGGTCAAGATATGAGAAAGCAAGGAAGCATACAGGAAAAGGCTGTAAAGCAAGCTTCGGCAGAACAATATCAGAGATGCGCAGTCATGGATGAAGATGATCACAGGTTTCAAGCAAAAGGATGATCATACAGACAAAAGTCCCGACAGAGCTAACAAACTAAATACATTCGTCAATCGGTTCAGTTCAGCAACAAGCTCAGCATCCTTCTGTCTTGCCCACAGTCACATGGACATCCTGCCCTCTTTGACCCAAAGCTTCTCAGTTATGCCTCAAATATTTCATCTTCCACCCCTGCCATTGACTCCTGCTTCTTTGAGATTTTTCTCAGCCAGATCAAAAGATGGTGCTTCCACCCACGCCTCCCAACTGTCTGTCTCTAGAAGTCAAATAAAGAGGAAACTGGGAAGACAGAATTGCAATAAATCACCAGGTCAAGATGGTGTCAGCCCTAGAGTCCTGATGGCCTTTGCAGAGCAGTTCTGTGGGATTCTACAGCACCTCTTAGACCTTAGTCTGACCCAGTGGACAGTTCCCCTCCCTACTCTACCAATGAAAACTCATTTTAAAAAGTTCTCAATGAATATAGAGCTGTTGCCCTGGTATTACACATCATGAAGGTCCTAGAGAGACATTGGTTCAACTGAGCAAGCAAGCAGCATTCAAGAACCCTGCAGTATGCTTATCACTGTGAAGTTGGAGTTCAAGATATCATCATAGATCTGCCTCAACAAATCCAATGTCATTTAAACAAGGGAGAAGGCATTGTGAGGATCACGTTCTTTGATGTCTTCAGTGCATTTTACACAATTCAACCTGACTTACTTTATTAAAAACTCCATGACTTAGGAGGAGGCATCAATAAATTTTTGCCTGGATCAAAAACTACCCAACAAAAAGACCACAGTTTGTTAGACAGACTAGTCAACTCTCTAATTAAGCAGTCTTTTCTCTGCAGAAATTCTCGGAGGACTAATAGTAATAGTTGGGTGCATCAAAGATGGACAAGAAGCTGAGTACCAGGAACTGGTGAAACACTTTGTGAAACGGTGTGGAAGCAATAATCTGTTCCTGGATGTCAACAAAACTTTGAAAAATTTCCCATGAGTAACTCTGAGATTTAATTTCGGTTTGAAATTACTAAAACTTAAACATGCAGGGCAAGGGTATTTGAACCCACTCTCCTGTATGATTTAGATGTGTCTCTGCTCCAGCAAACCTGCATTCCCTCCTCAGCAGTGAGCACGGGCAGCAGGTCCTGCTAATAATTTTATTTAAGTCAGATGTGTGTGGAGGTAGGGAAATACGTAAAACATTGAGGACAGTAGGCCCTGAGGACTGAGTTGGAAAACCATTACTTTAAAACCAGGGTTGGGAACCTCTTCTCTACAAGAAAAAAAAGAAATCCTTTACCTTTGAAAATGCTAACACGGTTCTAAAAAAAAGTATGATATGTGCATTCCTTTTTTTATTCCTTTTCCAATTTATAACCTGCGGTTTTTAATTTTTTTTAATTATTATTTTGTTTTGGGAGAAATCTTATTTCTGTTTGATAAATCTTTTCGTGTATGGGGTTGGGTTGAATACTGAGATAAGCATGAGAAAGGCAAAGATTCTAAACCATCGTGTCCCTGTGTTGTCCTAACGGTGTATCATTTTGACTTATAGGGTATCTTTGTTACTAGGGTACAGCATGACGGGCCTGCTGCCTCCGCACTGAAGCCTGGAGACAAGATACTACAGGTAACATCCTCCCACTCGTCAGACTACAGTCAGCATCATCCGACCTTTTTCCAATAAGGAGGCAGGGTATTCAGCAGGACATAAAGTATTATCTAATGTTTCATCCATAGAACAAAATCCTATCAAGTTAGGACTCTAACCAACAAATAAAAAAAATATGTTTTTTTGTATTTTGTAAAATAATTTTGCATTCAATCTTTATACTTCTGTTCATATTACATGTAAAAAGACAAATGCATCATGCTGCTTTATATTCTGCCTCTGTATCATTATCATACAGATATCTGGCATGAGCTTTCTTCCCCTGACTGTTTCATTTTTGTTTTTATCATTAGACTTGTCTGAATAAACAATTGCAATTAGAACTTAAAAACCTTAAAGTTAAGTCTAAAACTTGTTCTAGTTCCTACAATAGAATACACTTCAATCATTTTCGCTTTAAATTAGACTCAAAAGTCAGTGCTCAAATCTGTTTGCTGTCATAAGGCACATTTATTATATTATATATATTATATATATAAACCTTTAAAAGAAAGTAAATGCGATCTACTATTAAAATTAAAAAAATATATTTGGTTTTTCTATTCAATGATATCAGTGGATAATCAGTGGTCTGAGAGCATGACAAAAAAAACCAAAAAAAACATGATTATTTCAAATTTACTTCTAGGACATTGATACAAAATTATAATTTTTAAAACAAAACTATGTTTAGCTTGAATATGTATTTATCAGTTGACGAGGCACATCTTTCTCCTGCTGATGATATTTTAATGCATGGTAGTTGGCTTTTAGTTGCCCCAACCACTGCATGATCATTAAAGCACAGTGCTTGGAGCAGGTTAAATGACATGATTATAGGCAGAGATGGCAAAAGTACTCACTTTCTGTACTTGAGTAAAAGTACAGATACTTGTGTTAAAAAATACTTTGGTAAAAGTGGAAATACTGATTAAACTTCTTTACTCAAGTAAAAGTAACAAAGTACAGGCTTGTAAATTTACTTAAAGTATAAAAGTAAAAGTAGAAACCACTTTTTTCATGCCATTGCCTACATTTTAAATGGATGCCTGCCAATAGGACTAGATCTCCGTTGTGTTCATTTTCAATCATCTCGTCGTCCATACTACTATGCTAACGCCACCGCCACCAAGCTGCAATGATTTGCCGTGAATTAATACTGCCGAATCTGTCGATTCATCTTGTAGTGGTGCGTCAAATGCAACGTAGATTCCCATCCAATTAGATTGAATTTGGTATTGATGACGTGAAAAATAATAACGGTAACTCCATTGAAATGATTCAAAACTAAAGTAAAGAGACAATTTTTTAAAATGTAAGGAGTAGAAAGTACAGATATTTGTGTAAAAATGTAAGGAGTAGAAGTAAAAAGCCGCCATAAAAATAAGTAGTAAAGTAAAGTAAAAATATCAGAAAAATCTACTTGAGTACAGTAACAAAGTATTTGTACTTCGTTACTTCCCATCTCTGATTATAGGGATAACAACTTCAGCATCCAAAACTTTCACTATGGCCACGAAATGCTCACCTCAAAATTCTATTTAAAGGTATACTATGCAACCGGTGTTGATTTTCCAGCGAGGCTCCCCCCAGAGGGCGAAAGTAAAAGTGCACTGTCGTAAATACTGTATGCACAGCTGTTCTCCTGGTTTCTCCGTCAAGCCAGGCGCGGTTGTTTTGAGCTTAGCAGACAGGCGAACGCAACGAATGACTAACACAGTGAAAGTATGAACATGCACACAGAGCGAGAGAAACCATTCCAATGTTATTTGCAATCGCATCAGCAGAAACGCGAGGTCCGCGTCAGCCTTGCAGCCTTCTTTTTATTTTAACTCACGCCATTCGGAAAAAGCTTGCCCGATGTTCACCCGTGTACGACTCCTCTCTCTGTCCGGAGCCCTTTTCCTCTTTCTTGCCTGCTCAGACATGGGCTTTCGCTGTTTTCACGCTGGTTCCGCCATGATAACTGCACAAAGATCGCCACTGTGCTAGCAACGAGCATGCTTTTAACTGGGGGCGTGTAGCAGTTCTCGCCGTAAAGCAAGACCGACTCTCGCGAGACTTCTGAGCCTGTGGGTGCGGGTCGGTGCTCCTGCAATTGCAAGTGCGGTATTTCCCCCACAGACCACCAGGGCGGCCGAGAATACCTTTGTTCAACCTGAAATGACTCATTTAATCATCCAAAACTTTATGGAACACATTAATTAACTGAAAAATGTTGCATAGTGTGCCTTTAAACTGAAAGATGCTTTTGAAAATAGGTGAGGATTTTTTGGGAAAGTGGACCTATAAAATATATGTGCTATTCTAATTGACCAGCTAGTGGCTGTAATTCATATGAAATCCAAGAGAATAATCAGACAAGGATCTGAAGCTCAGTTTGCTCAGGATATCTAAAAATAATGTTTGTCTTGTTTATCTTAATGGGAATCTAATCTATGCTTGGGATCAGATGGGATGCCTTAAGAAGAATCTTCTTTACTGAAAGTGGTAACAAAGTTATGCAAAATAGTAAACTCCCCATTTTACATATCTTTTAGAGTTACATAATCTAATCCTAATTATCCACAAATAAAAATCTTCTGATCTCAAAATGATAACCAATTATAAAAAAAAAAAAACACAATGACAGAAGAAGCTAAACTTATCTTACTTATTTTTGTTGCTTTTGACTTAAATATTTTTTGTATCATACATCTGTTTTTATGTTTTTAGATAAACATAAAAGTATGGTACTTTTTTTTTTTTTTGGATGCAAATGTTACCCTAAAACTATGTTTAAAAAACATGAGCGCTTATAGAGAAAGATATAATTTGACCATTCCGCTCTTCATACACAACCAAAAATATATAACCTTCTGATGTTTCCTGATCTGTTTTTTAGCCAGCTGAGTGACAGTGTGCAGCAACAATTGGGGAATTGAGAGACCTCCCTCCTCTACTCTTTAAAGAACCGGAAAACATTTTTGTCCAACTAACGAAATTCCCAGACATTCCATTAAAATTTAAAGTTTTAAAAATTTAAACAATAAAAGCTTAGAAAAACTTAATACTGCTAACCAGTATATGTATGGTGATACTACAAGTAAACGACACTAAATGATTTTCCACCTTATAAATGGTAAAATGTTCTATATAAATATTATACAATATTATATCTCAGGATGAAAACTAATTTCTAAATCATTCAGACTAAACTATTAAATACAAATCAGGAAAAATATAAGTTCTAATTCCTTTATATTTATGAATATAAATTATAGAAAGTCAAGCCAATTAGACCAGGCCTCTGTGGGGACTCAAGATAAGATGTCAGCCTTTTACAGTGTAAGATTTATCTACAGTAAATTATAATCTTTGTTTTCTCCTCCTCTCTGTTGTCTCTCATCTTCACTCCAAAAGATGTACAGTTTAGCTGGATGAACTCATCTGAAAACCCTTTTTGTCTTTACCCCTTCTCTTTCTACAGCATGACTGTGTAGCTCCTCCTCTTCTCTCTCTTTTCCCCCAACAGTGATGTGTTACTGAGATAATGATGGCAGTGACCCTCCATCCTTCCACAAACACTCACACATTGACATGTGTATGGAAAATCTGCAGAACACATACCTCTATACACGAATGCGAGCACACACACATGCTGTTGACTGTGCTGCGTGTTTGCCTTGCAGGCTAATGGACATAGTTTTTTACACATGGAGCACGAGACAGCCGTCTCCCTGCTGAAGAGTTTCCCTCGGACAGTGGACTTGGTGGTTCTGAGAGACAGCAGCACGCGGTAGAAATAGTTTTATAATAAACAGATCCACCTCCCACCTCTACTCATCTCCACTCAACTCTGCTGGAGGCTTGTGGAGCTGACAAATGAGCCGCCTTTTTCTTTCTTTTGTAACCTTTTTAAAGGAACACACAGACATATGTTTGCCTATTGCTGGACCAAAGGCAAATACTAGTGCCAAATGTACCATGGGAGACATCTTCTCATCGTTTCACCGGAGGTCAGGGGCCTGATCGATGGATGGACAGACCATGAGAGGATGCAACACTTTTTGAGTTCCTTCAGGGCTGCTGCAGTTTGGATATTTTGGTTGGTTTTGAATGAGAAAGTTATTTCATCAGCTAATCAGATTTCCATTTTTTCTGTTTTTGCCAAGTCAGTTTAAAGGATTTTTTTTAACCTTTTCTTTTTTTCCCTTGCTATGTATTGGTTGAAAATGAATGTGTAGCATCACGTTTATTGCCTTGTTCTTAATTGTTATGTCTTCTCCCATTAACGTTTTTTTTTATTATTATTATTTTATTTACTTTGTTCTTTGTTATTATCTTTTTTTTTGTCTCATATTGTGTTGTGCCAACTAATTTCGCCTCCAATGTACAGATAACATTTTGCCTTTTTGTACATATATAAAGATCTGGCTTTCATGAGTTGCACTCTTAATTGGACCCTGGCAGAAAGCTCTAAAAGCTTATGATTAATATAACTGTATTAAGCTCTATTCTAATTTTTTACCTGTTATTGCACAGGGATAATTTCTATATAGTTTTTTTTTTCCAAAGCACACCGCTATTTCAACTGTAATAGAAAACCCTTTTCATAAAATATCATTGCTGATATTTTTTATGTTGAAACACTTTTGCTAGCACAGCTGTGTTGAAAAGAGCTAAAAGCAATATTTTTAATGCTCAGCCCACTGAGCTTTTGCAGCTGAGCCAACCTTGTTCTCTAGTGCCATCTACTGTACAATTCATGCTAATGTTTACACTCATACTGCCATTCACTTAACAAATACCCTGTGCCCCTGCACTCCTATAGTACATTTGTACGCCCTGTGCACTGCTGCATTACAGCACCCAATTTCTATCTTAGGCTCATCACAGAAGACAAATTATTATTCCTTTACAGCAGTGAAGGCAACTGTGCTGATGTTTGAAAGGAAAGTCCTGTCTTCTTCCATCTCCAGAATAAGAAAAAATAAATGTTTTTGAGAAGTAAAAATTATAGATAATTGTGTGAACTGTTTGTTCACACAGCTTCAGAATAACAGAGATACATTTTACATTGGCCTGGATTAGACTTAAACTTAAATCTGGATTCAGTGCTAAGCTTGTTAGCTGAACTATATCTCAAAGGGTTTGTTGTTACAGTGCCTTCACAAAAGTATTCCTACCCCTTAAACGTTTCCATATTTAACGTTACAACCACAATTTTCCTTATAGATTAGAAGAATTGTACTTGATAGACTTAAGTTTCCAGCCCTGAAGAAAGCGTTGTAGATTTTTTGTAAATGAAAAATATTTGAAAAAACTTTCTATCATATTTCTTCAGTACATAACTTTTTGTAAACCTATCCTAAAATCCTTCTAATATTGAAGATGGTGGTTGTAATGTGGACAAAATGTGAAACTACAAGGGGTGTGGATATTTGAAATGCACAGTATACTTCAATTTTCACTCAAACATGTGTAGCCCAAAGTGTGACATTTAAGATTTAGAGAAAAAAACAGAAAGGATAAGAAGCAAAATGTGTTTTGGAGAACTTGATGTTGGAAATTTTTGGCCAAAGAGTGGTGGTCATATTTACAGAGTTATATTGATATGACAAATATAACAATAAAAAAATATATTATGTTTTATGCCTTATGGTAACATTTTTATCAACTGCATATTTCACCTTACTTACCTGTGCCCCATTTTGTGTCAATTTCCCTCTAAGAAACTTCACACTTTCATAAGGACACAACATGGCACAGTTTAAATATTGTGGTTGAGAGATTGAACCCTATTTAAAGTTTGAAATATTGAAAATTATTATGTGAAAAGAGACAAATGTTTGATAATATAATTATTTTTTACTCTATGTTTCAGGTAATTCTTTCTAAATACATTGATATATCTTAGCTTTGCTCAAAAATTGTGATATTTTGTAAAGACACTTGTATCAAAGATATGGACTGAAGTACACACAATGTGACTTGAAGACCTACACATGTACTATCCAAAACTTGTATAAAAAATTGTATTTCTACTGTAATTGTGAATTTGTGTTATAAAAATACATAATATATATATATGTATATGAAAATAAAGAAACACCCATTTTCTATGTGTTTAGATGATATAAGAGATGAACAAATGAAGACAGTTTTACTGTATATAAACTGTGAATGAAATATAATTTAAAATTACTCATATTAATTGTGAATGTACTCATGCTTTCTGCAGTACTTAACACGTACCCAACTTGAATGCTGCTTCTTCTGTAGTGTGACAATGTACTTTGACCTCCGAGGTGAGAAATACTGTCAAGTTATAAGTTGGACAAATTTTAGTGACGATCTTACAGAACTATTTATTTATTTATTTATTTGCACATGCAAGTTGAAATCCTTCCAGTTTTAAGTTTGAGTATCAATGCGAGAAGAAATGCAATTGCTAAAGTATATATAATATATATCATGTGTTTAGAATGCATTTTGCAGACACTACCTGTACATACTATTTAAGATACAGTTTTTACAAAAAAAAATTATATGTATAAAACAGAAAAAATGCTGTGCAGCGATTATACTGAAGCCATTTTGGGCTTCAGGACATACCATTTTTTCAATATATAAGAAGTGTTTTGAATAATGTACTAAAGTCTCTATTGTACAAATAATAAAAATGTCAATATTGGTAATGTTTGGTTCTTATGGTGCATTGCCTTCTTTGTTTTATGGAACACAGATGTTCAGAATCTCTCTGTTCACGTTTTGATTTTAAAAAATAAAGTGAGGAAGGTCAAAAGAGAATAGAAAAGGAGGCATAGATTAAAAAGAGCTGATTCGGAGATATAACTAGATAAAAGATGATAAAGTAAAAGGTGAATATTAGTTAATGAAAGGCAGGGATATACATGGTAAATTACATTTAAGAAAATAAATAAAAAGCAGAGGGTGATAAAGACAGGAAGAAAGTAAATTATATAAGCACAAAATCCTGAAATAAAACAGAATAAAGAGGATAAGATTTCCTTTGCTGTGGATTTTACTTGAACAGATGCTCCTTTGTCTATCACTCCATTAGTTTAACAACCTGGAAACTTCTTTATCCCTTCTGATCCATCCGTCTTAGCCTTTCTTGACAGTTATCTGAGCTGTGGATCAGAAAGGGACAGTTCATCCCCCTGCGTCAGAAACAGTCCCTGAAGGGACAGACCAGTCAGTTTAAAATTGTACATCTATATTTTTATATATCACACCAAAATCATAAGAATGTTTATGAATGTTCCACATTGGGATAATTTCTTATTTACTGCTTTCAATTTTAGAGTAATACTTAAAGACAAATATCTAATACTCAGGGACAGTCTGGCTTGCTACTTTTAAGTTGGCTATACTAAAACCTTACCTTTGTAGGGATCCAGATCTGCTTATGTTTTAATGGGAATTCCATAGAATTGCTATCGGCATCAAGCTGCATGATGCAGCACTTTTATACAAGCTTGTAGCACTGCATGAAGGTCCTGGGTTCAATTCCTAACCCAGGGTATTTCTACATGAAGTTTTTGTGTACTCCCCATCCATTTCTGGGTTCTTTTCGGGTACTCCAGTTTCCTCCCACAGTCCAACAAACATGTATAATGGACTGGCAACCTGTCCAGGGTGTACTCTGCATTTTGCCAATAGACTGCTGGAGATAAGCATCAGCCCCACTGCAACCCTGACATATGAAGTGGGAGATGATGGATGGATGTTATCAGTGTTCAGTATCTTATCTTTAGACAATATAAATATAATTTGTTAAATTAAATGTACCTATTTCCAAATTAAATGTACAAGGTAGGTTGTTTTCTCCATAACTTCAATTAGCCTATGACTCTATTGTTAAGGAATTATGAGTCACTCGTCTTTACAATTTAGCCTTAGTTCACTGTTTCTTTGTTAACATTAATTTATACAAAGCTCTCTTAAGATCCATTGATAAACTGATTAATGACTAAACTCTCACTAAACCTTGCAAGAGCTTCTTTTGGGTCCTTTTTTTGTGAGACATTTGATTGTTTTGTATGTAATGTTTCTCTTTTGATGGACTTTTTTTGTCAAAGTGTTGGGTGTCAGACAAAAGTCATCTCCTTGACTATAGAATACTTTGTTTTCCAGGGATCGTAATAGGTGGCAAAATGGCTGCAAGGTGTCAAGGCCTCACGTCTGCAAAGCAAGCTCAAAACATCACCCCATCCACCACTGGATAAAGGATCTCTTTCCATCAGTTACAGGGAGAGAGCATTAGTTGCATAAACAAGCAAAGTTAACTATGGGTGAGCTGTTAAGATTTACAACTCATGAGAGTAACTCTATTATACACTCCATAAAATGGGCTTTATGGGGTAGTGGCAAAAAGGAAAACATTTGTTGAGTAACGAGTCCTGGTTAAAGTTCTCAGCCATTTAGGTGATGGTAATGGATAGCAGTTATGTTTCCATTCTATGATAATGTGGTCCTATTTCAGAAACGTTGAAAGTTGGAAAGATGGATGGAGCTAAAAAGGGTCATTCTTTGGCAGAAAATCTACAGAAGAACGGAAAATGAGCAGGTCCTTAACCATCCGATAGGACTAAAACCCCAAAAACCCAACCAGAACTTCACCATACTTTACATAAGAAGGGCTGTAACTTTCCATTTAAACCCCTTCAAAAGCTGCAAGTACTTGTAGATACTCTCTTTTCCCCTTTACTAAATATGTCAAAATCCCATTTTTTAAATATATATTTTCTGACTTGTACCATTCCCCAGTGCTCCCCTGGCATCAGTGCTGTCCATAGAACAACTATCACTCTGAGACAGGCTGACAATGAACAATAGAGTTAACCATTATGCACAAACACACTCACACACCTACTCACACCCACGTATAATCTGAATGGTGTCCTTTTGTTCCAGTTCCCCTTTAGTCTGTCTTTTACACACTAGCTTTAAACAGAAATGGTACTTCTGTATTCCAAATAACCAACCCACTTATATAATGATGCATGTATTTCTACCCACTCTAATGGTAGAATAAGTGTGTAAGTGTGTGAAAAACAGAAAGGGAAATTTTGTTCACCCACCAAAGCAGTCAATAAGCTCTTGTGACTGGATCAATAACAATACCAGAGACTATGACCTGCATTCAACTGCAGCCTTTATGTGGCTGGCTCATGGTAGACATAACTAAATACTGTATGCCTTGCATACAGGATCTTAAATCTTGTAGTTTTGATCTCTTTTAATTCCTTTAATTCTACAGTTAGAACTGTAGTTCAATTGTTAGTGGTGGTTTACCAATCTATGTGCTAGTTAAATTGCTACTTTTACATTAGAAGAAAATACATATACATAGTGGTCAATTGCAGCTCCAAGACCACAGGTTGCAGACCCCTGGGCTACATTATAGCAGAGGTCAAGTTTTCACTTTGTGTTTTTAGTAAAACTTTTATTTATGTAATCCTGTGTATTCTAAGCCATTAGTTTCAGTTCCATTTAGTGTCAGATATATAAGTTATTTTCTAAATAAAAAAAATATAAACACAACCATTTTGGTTTTGCTCCTGTATTTTTTAGATGAACTCATAGATCTAAAATGGCTCTAAGATGGCTTATGATGGAGAAATGAACATTCAGCACAGGTCTGGTTGACATTCCTGCTCTCAGTGACATCTGTGCTATTGTGCTGTGTGATAGCACACTTTCCTTTTTGATAAAGCTTATAGTTAGAGTGGCTCAGGTTATCCTGATCTATCTCTATAGTTATGCTGCTATAGGCTTAGACTTCTGGAGGAAATAAGGACCCGTATTTCCTAATTTTGCTTCATTCTATCTCTATTCTTCCACTCTGCTGAATCTGTTAGTTTAATCTCAAATGTTATGCTCTCTCTGCCTTTTCTCATAGTAGCTTCACCTCATCAGAGAAATATCAGCTGTGCTGCTGCCATCAACATCCTTGTTTATAGATGTTGAGGATTGGCCTCTTTTTCCAGTGTAGTCCTGTTTCTCTGACTGTGACTGGCTGGATGTGCTCTCTTCATCCTTTGACATGGGAGTTGTCTCAGAGCTCATCTGCCTGCTTGTGTGTTTTCAGGATGGGGCCGCCTTTTACAGTTGCTTTTTATATCTCTGCTTCTGTCTCCTTGAACCCCAGTTGGCCTCGGCAGATGGGCGCTCGCCGTTCACCCTGAGCCTGGTTCTGCTGGAGGTTTGTTCCTGTTAAAAGGGAGTTTTTCCTCTCCACAGTCACTACAAGCATGCTTAGTGTGAGGGATTGCATCTGAGTCAATGAGTCGATGCAATCAACTGGTTTTCCTTAGATAGAAAACTTTGAATCCTGTATGATCTGGTCAACTGTAAAGTGCCTTGAGATGACATGTGTTGTGAATTGACGCTATAGAAATAAACTGAATGGAACTGAATTGATAAAACTGCACCTTTCACAGTGGCCTTTTATCCATGGTGCTTAATCAGCATCTTGATATGGCACACTTGTGAGGTGGGATGGATTATCTCAGCAAAGGAGAAGTGCTCACTATCACAGCTTTAGACTGCTTTGTGAACAATATATGAGGAAAATGGTTATATTGTATGTGTGGAAAAACTTTTAGATCTTTGGATTCATATGATAAAAAAATGGGAGCAAAACCCAAAGTGTTGCGTTTATATTTTTGTTTAGTGTAGTTATATTTAACCACTCTCTGCTGCCCCCTTTTGACACTTTCCTTTCCCCTAGCTGCCTTCTAGCAATTCTGTCTGCACCTGCTCCCAATCAGTTGATTACTACATTCTTTGCTCTGTTTGCCATATATACGCTTCCTCTGCAATTACTCATTACTGGATTATCTTCATTCACTCATGAATTTTGTGTTGCCCTCTGTTCTGGTTCCTGTTTTTCCTGGTTTGGTATTTCTGTATTTATGCTTCTGTTGCCACCAACCTCATCATTAAATCTGAAACCATCTTTGCCTCCATCTCTGCATTTAGGTCCTCTACAAATCTCCTCCCTTGTTGACCCATCCATCCATCTGGTGCCTATCTCCAAAAGTCTATGGGTAAAAGGTGGGGTACACAAAAGACAGATCACCAGTCTGTTTCCGGGCAACACAGACACATAGAGACATACAACCATGCACACAGACACTCACACCTAAGGACAATTTAGAGACACAAATCAACCTAAGTCATGGTTCAAGACCGTGGGAAGGTGACCTGGAGAGAACTTTCACTCGCACAGGCGGAACTCCATGTAGACAGAGGCGTAGCCAAAAAATTATTATAAGAGTGGCCAGGTAATAACCAATGTAGAGATAGGGGTGGCCAAAAGTGGATAGGCGCCAGAACCTCAGGGTCAATCTACACTGTTCTCAATAAAGACAAACTACACTTTCCTACAGCCCTTGTTGACAAATAGATGCATATATTTAAACAATCACGCTTTCTAGGTAAATGGTATAGTGGATAAAAATTCTTTCAGGTTTGAGTTCTGGGGCGAACATCTTTTCCATCGTCATTACTTACCTACTTTTATCAATAATTATTCTGCATAAAATTGATATTTACAAGTACTAATATCTACATAAATTATTTATTTATCAATGACTTCATGGCAGACTCCTAGATGACCTACAGAGATGCATCATTTTCTCTTTATATAACACAAAATCTAGTTCTGAAAATAGCACGAATTCTGTACTTATCGTCTTTAATGTTAGTATATTGGTGTGCATAAACAACTGCAATGTTTTTGTTGTAAAGTCATTATTAATATATGAAAAATTAAAATTGAATATTCCATTTAAGAGTATTACTGCTGTCACCATCTGTGTAAGAGGTAAAAAAAAATCATAGGAGTGGCCACAGGGGTGGCCAATGATTGGCTAAGGTTGGCCATGGCCACACCTAGCCCCCCATCTAGCTCCACCCTTTTATGTAGAGAGACCCTTGGTCAGGAATCAAATCCAGGTAAAGGCAAAATTGCTACACACTGCGACACCATAAATAAGAAATGTATTGAAATGTTTAACATTAAATGTGTTCCATGTAATGCACAGAAATACTCTATATATCTCTAACAAAGTTGATACTTGTTCATACGTGCTTTGGGGAATTCTATACTTGTCCTTTGCCATTTGTAGGATAATCTAAGTATAGTAGCAAGTTTATTTCAGTTTTACTCAAAAGTCAAAATGAGATACTGGTTTGAAAATATAACCATTGGGATAATTATTAAAGTTAATTATGCGCAATTAGATTGATTAAGAAACTTTGATAAAAATGTGTGCATATTTTGTGAAACCTGAAGTATACAAGTAGGTCATTCAAACCAACGCTTAGTTTTCTGTGATGTTCTTGGTTTTATTTATACATTTGAGAGAAAAATAAATATAACTGAAATGAACTGAACATACTGAACAAACATCTGACTAATGAAAATAATCACTGTATTAATGTAAATATTCAAATAGATATTTTGTCAAAAAGGGTAAACATTCCCTTTACAAATGATAAGATTTACTGAGTGTGATTTATGGTATTAGACTTTAAAGCATTTCATTTTTGACACAAAATTACCAAATGAATAGGAAAAATTTTTTTTGCACACATACAAAGAAGGTGTATAAACTTTGTTGCAACAATCCAGTGGACATGCTGTGGCTAGATGTTGGATTTAATCTAATCACACTACACATTTTCATTACCTCTAAACCCACGCGGGAATGAACATGCCTAGGCTGCTGCTGGGATTACACCTGTAACATTTCAATTTGACCAACTTTGCCTTTTTCGCCCATTCAACATAAATCCATACAACCTTTGCTTTGCATGAACCAAAGACAATTGGGACACGGAAGGCAGCTTTCTGAGCCTTTCTCTAATGCAGCTAAGAGTCAGATATATCAGTAAAACCCAAATCTTTTTTCCTCTGAGTGGATTAGGTGTGGATTCAGCACACCCTGGAATAGACCGGGCGTTTATCCACAGCGCACAATATAGCTGTTTATCATCACAATAAGACACACAAGCTCCTTATAAAGAGCCTCTTCAACAGTGTTCAGTGACGAGTGTGTGTTTATCCCACGGGAAACCGGTTGGACCACGTTAAGACACCTGAGTGAAGAAATGGAGAACTAGTTTGACCGAACAGACCGACTTAAAGTGAAAGACGCAAAACACCAAACAGGCGTAACCAGTAGGACTCTGCGGGTACTAAGTTCAGGCGTAAAAGTAAACGCTTGACTACATCCGTGTTTTGTCGTTGTTGTTTTCTTTTTGTTTGCTTGTTTTTTTTTTTTTACTTATTAAACGGCCAATTGTTGCTGGCTGTTGCGGCGACGGTTCGGTGTCCCATTTTGGAGGAAGGCAGCGGCAGGACGCGCACATCTGTCACAAAAAAAAAAAAAAAAAAAACACGCACCAACACTAACCCAAGCTGTCCGAGCAGGGCTGCGTCGGTCACCATGCCTGTGCGACAGAAAGGTAACTATCCGCTCCTCTTATTTTCTTTCAGCTGTAGAAGGGGAGTAAAGTTGACCATTTAAACGTATATAGACGCACGGAAATGTTGAGCTGAATCTCGGGAGCGTGAACTTTAGTGAATTCCTCGCTGTTCTTTGGTTAATTGGTCAAAAGGCATGAGGCAAACTGCTGCTTTGAATGCAAGGCATTTAATATCAATGTTATCTACACAGTAAGTTCACACTAGTCGCAAAGTGAAAGTGGTTTTGCATAGTGCGATAACTTGCAGATAAATACTGTAGGTCGTTGAGCTTTATCCGACTAAGCTGCAATTTCACGATTTTATTTCAGTAATTTGGTTTATGAGTCAAACAGATATTTACATATAGAGATAACTCTGAACACATAAGCTATAATAATGGCTAATGTTAAACTTGCCGCACATTTAAAATCTAAAATAAATAAAAGTAAAATATACAATTTAAGAAAATAAGTATTTCGTAATGCTATGATCATATGATGACTGCCTGCAGGAGTCGGTGACAGCCTAAGGGCAGTAAGGTGGCAGGCAGTAAGAGCTCTCTACCTAGACTTTAGGGAAAGTTGGATGGAAGGAAAAAGTGCACATGTGAAGCAAACCACTTTAAGATTTTGGTAGAGGAACTGCAGGGCATGGGGTGTAACTGTTGCAATCCATGTTTAAAGCCATTTTAGAATTAAAGACATAATCAGACAAATCTTAGGCTAAGGAGGACATAAACAGGAGTTTTGTTTGATGGTCTGGCATCACCATTTTTAGATAAAAGATATGCATTTTACCTAATAATCGAATCCACATAAAGTGCAAATTGGACCAAACCTCCAGCCTGCTGTTATAGGCTTCCACTGCCAATGATAATTTTGAAGGTTGTTAGCCTGATAAAGTAGACTAAATGTGAGGTTAAATGTGTAATTTAGTCTGGCCCCGATGAATGACAACAATCGGGAGATTGTAAATGAGAACAATCCGTTGTCTTTCAAACTATTGCCGTTTCTCAATTCACTAGAACGCGAGTACGGTTTGGTGTTCTCACCGAGTATGTTCTTGAGAAGAACACAGGAAAGTATGGACTTGGTGAGAACAGGATCACGCAGCATAAGTCAGGGTAAATTGGAACAGAAGCAAACTCGTGACGTCACCACATGCCCGGCTTTTTTGGGGTTGCTTTTTCCTTTTTTTTTTTATTGTTTTTTGAAAATTATTAATTCTTTCTTTTTTTCATTAAGTGGGGGAATAATACTAAACACAGTCAGATAATCACAAATCAAATAAACATTTTGCCAAATAAAACAAAAAAAATCGCTGTCGGGGCCAGTGGTCCTTCACACACGGCTATGCTGAGAGAGGGCGCTGCAGACGGGCTACGGTTTGCCCTGGCTGCCGTTAGCTTTGGAGCTCAGCTGGTTGCCGTGGTGCTCTCAACTTCTTAAATCTTTTTTTTAATTACGCGTTAAATCGGTAAATGGACCATATAGTGACGCTTTAAAGTATAATATTCTCGCCTCAAATTATCTTAAAACGTACTTTTATTGAACAACAGCAACAGAAAACTTTTTACTTTCAATGGAGCGCTCCATTGAGAGCTGCTGCTGCCGCAGTGCATGCTGGGACAGCTGTCAATCTTAAGAACGGACAAGTCTGCTCTGATGCATACTCGATAAAGAGGGCGGGGTGAGAACAACATTCAGGGATTTGGTGCGTTCTCGGTCTGGTGTTCTCGACAATTGTCACAAGAACACAAGAATGCTCAAGAACGCATATTGAGAAACGGCATATGTCTGTGCCTATTGGCTAACAATCTGACCAATGAGCACAACCAAATGTGATGTAGTAAGCGCGACAGAAAGCTGGTGGGGGAGTGTAAATGACAGCCTATCTGTAAAATGGCGAATATGTCCTTCTTAAAAATGAATGACCGTAGAGCCTCTCCCTGCTCACGTTTCAACGAAAACCCAAAGTCTAATCCTTCCAAAACTGATTCCAAAGCTGAGTCAAACGAGAACTGTTCAATCGTTGTTGCCATCTTCCTTGTTGTGCTTTCTCCAGCATCGCGCAGCTTTGTTGTCACGCCCTCAAAACATCCCCTGCTTTACATTCAGAAATTCAAAACACATATCTGCGTTGTGATTGGCCCGCCAGTTCTAGGGCCTGGGGCCTTGATCGAGGCTAGACCACTCAAAAAAAGGCAAAAATGATTTTGGGCGCTGGCAGGTGGGGCTAGTTTACTAGGCTAGGAAGTTGAACCTTCTGCTAGTTTTTGCCCACTGTATTTTATTATATACATTTATATATATGCTAATTAAGTTTTTTGGCATGGCTTGGCAACTACCAAATTTACCAAAAGTTTCAATACTTGATTTAATGAACATGCTATCACTGACCTAAATCCCCCAACCCTCTAATAACCAAAACCCTGATTGAAGGAACATAGAACATTGTGAGAAAGACTCCAAAGACAGTGAACGCATGAGTTCAAAGCAACTACTATAGCCTCTATTGCAGATGTCATTAATACCATACCTACAAAAGTGATGTGCTTGCTTACAACAGTTTGTTTGTTGTTTTTTTTACTGATTATAAAGATTTTATAATTGTTTCTGAGAAAAGATTCTTGGTTTTATTTTTTCTGTGTCCAAAATTTCAGAAAGTTACAGCAAATAAAGGCTTGACAATATATTTCCTTTTTGTGTTGAGAATCCCTGTGAATTTTATTTTTAATTTGACCTATAATTACTGAATTAAATGTTATTATAAAGCTGTTATGCACCATCTTATTACCCCAGATTCATGTTCACACACTTGTAGGATTATTTAAGCTTGATTAACTGTTCACAGAAACTGTTTACAGGCAGCAAAAGATGCGAAAACAGGCCTGAATAGAAATTTCAGTAACATGAAATGGGGTGAAAAAGCTAAATTGCAGTTTTATGTGAGGCCCCTTTACTCGAGTGTGCTTATAAGTCTATTTTAAAGTAGTCAATCTACTATAAAAATCTGTTTAAATTAAACAATTTCAAAATGAAAACAAATCTTTAAATAAACCAGTGGGAAAATGCTTTTATTTTTATTTTATTAAAATTATGACAGTATAACTGCATTGTTGGGACCAGGTGCTTTTACTTTCTCTTGAGTTATTTATCCTTGGGTGACCACCACTAGCTCTTAAACTGTTGTAATCCCCAGTTTTATAAAGGCTTTGTTTCAAAGTAAATAATCTCTTTACCCTAAAATGAAATAATAAAACTTTTTTTATTTCATTTTTTGTGTTGTTTTTTTTACATTTTTCATGTATTCTTTAAAGATGCTCAGAGGGCCCTGGAGCTGCTCCAACAGTACCGAGTAAAACTGAACCAGAGACAGCAAAATCAGAGTCAGAGCAAACAGGCTTCCATGGAGGAGGACCAGCAGCTGCAGCAATCTTTAGACAGAGTCATCAATATCTTCCAAAGTCAGCTCTTCAGTGCTCTACTTGGTAAGGTCACTTGATATTCATACTTTTTTTTTTTTTTAGAATTTTTAGTCTTGAACTCAACCTTTAAAATATTAAGATACATTTACATGTTTAAATGGGAAATATTAGTATTTTGCTGATAAATATTTGAACCATCCTTATTTTGCATTTAATAGGGTTTGTTGATATACAAAAAGGGTGCTAACATGCTTTGGGTGGTTTATCAACATTTGAATCCAAAACTCTCTTTGGCTCACTATTTCCCCAAATAAATGAAACTATTAGAATTATATTACAGTTTTGTTTGTATTTTAGTAAAGCTTAGTTACTATATGACTGTTGACATCAGGGTGATTTTCCTTTTAGATTAATCATGAATTTCTCTGCTGTAAATGGGTGCACATTCACTCTTAAACTGCTTAGACTTTTAGAGAATTTACTAGAAGAACAATGTTGTTTTTTTTAGCTGTCTCTGAAACTTTTAAAGTGAAGAATGTGCATAGCATGGTCTGGTCATGCAAAAAGGCTGGACTCACCTAGCAAAGGCATCTGTGTTTCCTTTATCAAAAAGTACCAAACCTCTTTGTGTGCATGTCTCTGAACAGGGTCTGCTTAAACTGTTTTTGTTACTCACTTTCTCTGATATTTCACTTATTTTCTTTGTGGTGTTAAAGTTGCAAGGGTATGGTTTGCTTTTAATCTAGTTAGATGGTAGCCTTATGAGGAGTGGCTAACTATGATTATATTCACACTGCAGCCTGAAGTGTCCCAAATCTGATTATTTTTCCCATAATGGACCAGTATCAAATCTTTTCATAACAATCTGAAAAACATTTTCTATGTGTTTTAGGATCATCTATCTTTTTAACAAGACAGTTAATTCATAATAACAAAATAGATTGTTTAAGAGTATGAAATTAATTTAGGTTGGGAAGTAATTGTGCTAGAAAGGTTAAAAATGAAAAAAAAAAATGGGGAGACTGACCTGGGGCCTATGTAAAGAATGCAAAGCATTAATTCATAAACTTTAAAACTTTGTCTGTGGTTTCTCAATGATGTATACTGACACTAAATATACCTTTTACGCATCCTGTAAGGATGCTCCTTACTCCATCAGTCATTGGATGAAAAGTTGGTACTTAATAATGTAATCACATCACTGGGAAAGTGAGAGACATGTAGGAAAAACAACCGGATGCCTACATTCTCATTCCCCAAGGCAATCTGGAGAGAAAAATGAACCCACCCAACATGAATCTTAGAGGAAGCTGGAGTACCTTGAATGAATCAATGACTATAAACAGAGAACAGGCTAACTGTGTGTAGAAAGTCTGGGATTCATTATTTGAAACCCCTGGTTCAGTTTCTATAAACCACAGGTGTATCGCTTTGTTCTTCACTCCTCTTTGTTGTCTTCTATCTGTTTTCTAGCTATAAAATTTAGCAGACCTTTTCCATGGGAATTGTTTTGCTGACACGGGTTGTGTCTAAATTTATTACTTAAATGCCATTGAGCTATGTGTGAATATGGAGTGGAATTAAAACTTACCCCTGTAACACTCTGTTATTAGATTTTATAAGATTCATGCCATGTGTACTAACATGAAAGTATGCAAAGACATTTTTCAGAAACTTCTGTTGCAGTGTTCATCTTTTGACACAAGAGGGCCTTGTTGCACGTTCTATGTCTGTTTACAGTAGAAGTGTAATTAGAAAAAGGGTGAGGTTTTTAGACACATGGTTTGGTTGATCTGCATCACAGTTTTGTGTCATACAATTTTTGAGATCAACATGTTGTTTTTATACAGATATGCAAAAGTATTTCAACCACAAAGTTTATAAATATAAATGTCCAGATACATCATTTATTTCTTAATAATCAGTTTTACTGCTTTCCATGTCTAGATAATAACATTTAGACTTTGATCCCTTATATGTTTTGCATTTCTCACGTGGAAGCTCTTTTCACAATGATTTTAATTGAGTATTGTGGATTTTTCTGGGCCCTCACTGCCTATTAATCAGTACAGAATGAGCTAACTGTCAGGCAGGAGGAGCAATAGCAGAAATCACCTGCTGGAATGGAACATAATACAGAACTATCAATGAGAAATCTGCAAAGATTCTCAATCATCCAGGTCATGGACAACCTTGCAAGGTTCAGTCCTAGCAACTGGATGTGAAGTTTTCCAGAAGACATTTAGCCTCTCATTTAAGAGGCTTCTTCACTTCTAACTAGTGTTGGGAGCACTGAGATTCATATACTGTAGGTGTAACAAAGAATTAGGGGGAACAAACGGTGGCTCTGATCCCTCCTACTGGATGACAATGACAACCATGACCACGGCTAAATCTGACAGAGTACAGCATGAAAACAGAGGCTTGTAGAAGTAGCACTGAAGATAAGGAAATCATAGCAGCTTGAGGAAAAGTATCTAAATGATAATTTTTAAATTAAAGTTTAATGATTAGTTGTTATCTGGCTTTAAAGGTGTTTATGTCATAAGGAGAGAATACAGCATGTTTTCCTTTGTAGCCAGCATGAAATAATACCAGCATGTTTATTAATACTAATAGTGCTCATTAGCTTGTCTTCTCATGAACGGATGCACTCATTCTTTTGTTGAAACTCACAGCTCTAATCTATCCATAGATATCCAGGAGTACTATGAGCTGACAATCCTGCAGGACAGCCAAGGTTCTGTCGACACTCCTGAGAAACTCCCAGCTTCCTGCAGCCTTCCAACAGAGAAATCATCACAACAGCAAAAGTCCCCCAGCCCTTCGATCCCCTCTGCTTCTGGAGAACAACCCCAACTCACTAAGCCAGAGTCTATTAAATCCCCCATCACACCTCAACCAACTGGACAACCTACAAAATCAAAAGTCAAGTGCCGTGCTCCCCCTCCACCCATCCATACTGGAAACCCCAAATTTGTCGAAGGAGTTATTTCCAAACCCTCTTCACCTTATGATGCCAATACTTCCAGTGTTACTGCCAGCGCTGTAGAAAGTCCCAGTGACCCCACTAAAACATCACAGAATGGAACCAACCAACATGTCACTGTCACAAAGTCAGAGAATACAACAAACCCACAAAACCTTCCTGCCCCTAAAGACCTGAATCTGGTGACTGTTTCTGCCCTTGTCTCTAGCACCATCCAAGGTCTTGTGTCACCAACCACTCCAGACAAAGCTACTCCTACAAGCACCACTTCAACAACCAGTCCAGGAGAAGGTACAGTCGCAGGAACTGGCAATACTGCAGCTGTTTCTAGTGGCAGAGATCAAGGAATAAGCAAAGACAGTTCGAGTAAAAGTCCAACGAGTCCCAACAATGGAAAAGGCCCATTTGAGAGCAAAAGCCCCACAAGTCCTTTGGCAAATATAAGCAAAGGATCTCATTTTAGGTATGTGCACATATTTTCCTTGCTATAAGCTTTGGAAATAACAGATCTGTTTGTCAGTTTTATTTACAAACTATATTGCAGTTATAGAAGACATTCAATGCAAACACAATATCCAGAGAATAATAAAACAATAGTTTAGCAATAACTCTCATGAATGTCATTTCTGAGGCTCATATCCTCTTGGTGATTGTTCTGGCAAATTAGTACACTTATAAAAATATAAATATATATATGTATATTTATATATATAAATTAAATATTAATATTGGAAGAGATATTTAATTTGATTTGCTTATTTAGGATTATGTAGGTTTTATAAATAGTTGTGACTTGGACATGACTTGGAACCTGCACCTCTTGGGACTTTACTCAAGACTAGGTTAAAAAACCTTGATAATTACTTGACAAAACAATGAGTTATTTCCAACTCGGTGGAAATAAGTCAGGTTCTCTGAAGGTTCTCTTTTCTATGTGCCTGTTCTCATTTTCTATTGTAGTATCAAGATTTGGCTTCCTTCAAATAGGTTTGATCTTGCACTTTGTAATATTTGCAATCTTTCAGGTGCAACACAGCATGTGAAATCATATGGGAACCATATCAAGGCAGCAATTCCTTTGAGTTAATGCTATCAGCAGTTATTTCAGAGATTCACACAATTACAATGACCCTGAATAAAATAATTATATGCTTAATTTTTAGCATTGGAATATTTAATGTATTTGCCTTACAGGTTCGGAAAAGAGTGAGTTCATCAAAACTTACTTATTTTTGTTTCCAGTTCAATAAGCCCTGGGCAGGTAAAAGGCCCCCCTGCTAGCCCTGGCTATGGACCAGCCTCCCACAGATTGCCTACAACTCCATTGACCTCCACCAAGGTAAGAAATGTCCTTGTTGGGTATTTGTTGTATTGGATACCTGTCAAAAATGCATCACCAGCAATTGGTGATAACTTGGGAAATAAGGAAAATTGCCTTATTTGACTCCTGAGGTGTGATTATGGTTTGCTTCTAAATGCCAAAAGACCGCCTGACAATAGACGGGTAATCTTTGGGTTTTCATTCTGAAAGAGTGCTCCTCTGAACAGTGGAGGCCTTTTTTTTCCTTTTTTTTTTTTTTTTTTTTGCACAATTACATTTTAGGAATGAATTCAATGAATTTGAACTCAGTCTATTTATATAGCGCCAATTTCCAACACATGTATCTAATGGCATTTTACAGGGACTTTACTGTCAGATGGCTTAAAACCAGTTGATTGCATTCAGTCCTTGAATTAAGACATGCTTCTCTTGGATGAGCCGGTGGCAGCGACCTTCGCTTGTATTTTGTTGGATGTACTTGACCCATGTTTGCACAATGCACATTCAGTTTGGATTTTCTCACATCCCACATGATTTGTCTTGTGATTAATTTGCATTTATTTTTTTTATTCTCTATTTTTACAATACCAAGAATATCTGTAAAAATGTATGTTTACTGCAGTTGATTGTCTGACTTCAAGGTAATTATGTGCTGCTTACATTCAGGTGATATTTGCAAAGATAAACTTTCTTTGGACATTTTGAAAGTCAAATAGAAAATGATTTTGGCCTTAATCTGAGCATATCCACATTTTATTTTAAACAATATAGTGTGACAAATAAGTTGGCTTTAAATGAGGAAGCCAAAGAGTTCTGTACAAGACAGCAACATCATGTATGTTTTACCAATATAAAAAAACAAACTCAGCAGCATCTAAAGTTATTACAACTTGCTCATGCTCGGCATCGTTTTTAGACGTCCTTCCTGATGCAGCATTCATTGTAGTCAAACCCATTCAATATAGGGAAAATTTTAATGACAAACACAAAAATTTTGAAAAAAATCTAAATACATGGAAAGGTGAGAGGAAGGAAAATGTTGTAGTTAAGCAAACAATATTGATTACAGGAGCCCTGGACAGATAGCTGAGGAAACCCCATTCAGGAGTTTAGTTGGATTGTAAAGGAATTGACTGTAGCAAGAGTCGGTGAGAAGATCCCACACAGAAATATAGACAAGACATTGGTTTGCATTACTTGCTTGCAGTTATTTCTGAATAAATTTCATCAGAAGTGTCTTAAGAGCTAAAATCAATCAAGGTCACAGAGTGTGAAGGACAGATTTTTAAGTCTTCTGACGTCCAGTGAAATAAGGAGGCACAGATAGGCTCAATTCAACAGATTAGTGCCTGACGTTTCAGCAGGCAAGGAAGCAAATAGTCTGTAATATAACAGGAAATTAAAAATTCCATCACTTTGTTACCTTTTTTTGCTTCTTAAGGAGCCACAAATTCACTCCTATCCACAAAGTTGAAAGTAGAGCATCTTTGGTATACTGCTGTCACTGTTCACTCTATCTAACCCCCACTCCTGCCAGAGATCTGACCTGATAAAGCAGTGGAGAGTGGTGTGTGTGTGTGTACGTTTGAGTGTGTGTAGCATTTGAATGTTTGTGTGTACTCATGTCTGTGTACATGTCTGTCTGTGAGTGTTTGCCTGTTCATCCATGTGTGCACCGGTCTCTAGATGATGTTTTTTTTTTATCTGCTGAGTTTGGTTGGCGTGCATACACGGATGTATATTTATATACACAGATAAATCTATTTCTGAGCCATGCTCTCCGCGAGGTCAAAATGTGGAAACCAGCAGCCATAAAATGAAGACGGCAGCTGGGAAACAGGAGCGGGTGGAGTTGCACCAGCATGGTTGCCATGTTTCTGAGGCGGCCTCTGATTTAGCATGCTTGGCAGGCACTCTGACTGCTCTATAGAAAGGAAAGGTGGAAATGGTACAGGAAACGGAGTCGAGGGTAACTGAGGGATGAAAAGACAGAGAGGGGGAAAAACAGGCAAAGGGATGGAAAATGGATGCTACAAGCTGCAACACATAGCTGAGTGTCAAAATGAGGAAGTTGGACCTGGAAGGTGATTTGGTGAAAGTTTATCAAGCAGACTGTTGAGGATGGACTGCATCTGTATCCTCACTACTAAGGTGAGACACATAAAGTTTTCAACCATGTGATTACCTTTATTTGATGCATCAGGCGTTGCAGAGTCCATATTTTATTTAAAACTTTATTTTGTAACATAGGCGTAACCTCTATCTTGTAATACTATGCATTTTTTATTTTTCTGTTCATGGAAACAGCATAGAATAGAGAATGCATGAGTGTTACTTCAGGTTTGCTTAACTGATTGTGTCTGGTCGCAGATGGTTTGTTCTAATTTCTGAGTGTACTGGTTAAAACATAATGAGTGGTTCAGACATAATAAAACAAAGTGTGTTTCTTGGATTCTTGTTCAGGTGTCAGTTCGATGACATGTGACTCTCTGTGGGGCAAGAAACTGGGTCAATAGCACAAATAAAAGACTGAAAGGCTGAGCTGATGGGAAGATAGATGATAGATGTATGGTTTGGATTAATAATCAACTTCTTTCTGGGGAAAAATAGCAACAATTTCAAAAAAAGCCTAGAAAGATAAGCTGATATATTGTGCATATATGTAAAGCTTCTGATATCCAGTTACATTGAACCAAATAACCTGGTTTGACTTTATGTACCTCTCTATTTCCAGATCAGCTCAGCCTTTTTATTAAAGATACTCAGGTTTGTAAAGCTGCACATCAAAACAATCAATTACGAACATGGGGCTGCCTGTTTAATTACTTCTTTCAACAAGCCTATTAAAAGCTTTGCCTGAGGGGTGCTAGACTAATCCTTACTTTTTAAAATAAGGCGGTTAAGGCAAAAGTTGTCTTCAGCTTTTACTTTAAAAATATTTGTCATCACTGAAGTAATATCTTCATAAAAATGTAAAAATATCAAAGAGCATTTTAAAGGGAACCTATATCTAATTTATATTTTGACACCCAACAAAAATCTGTATGACTCCTTGGTCAGCAATGTCTTTCTATCAGCCTGTTTTTAGTCTCTCGGGTAATTAATAGTTGATTACTGAGAAGGCTAACTCTTGTCCTCAAAAGCCAGTGTTCTGCATATTTTATACGTTTCTGTGGTTCAACACACCTGAATCAAATCCACTCCTAGAACGAAGTCAGTGGTTTGAATGCTTCTATATTATGCTTGATTATTAAATGTTTAAAAAAATCCCAAGAAAAGAAAAACAAAGGCTGAATATTTTTGGATATACATGATATGTGTTAGCTTGCATCAGTTGATAGTCAATTCTGTTATCCAAATAATAACATTTAAACAGAACTAAAAACCAAGCAAAAAAAAAAAAAAGAAAAGAAAAGCAGCATGTCATTTTTAAACCATGGACAATCAATAAATGTAACCCTCCCTCTCCTCAAGCACACTGCATTCAATACAGATTTAATTGGCCAGCTCATTTACCTGACTGCCTACTATGTATTTGGTCACAAATCTATTTTCTCGTAGAGATAATTAAATCTTATTAAAAACAAATCAAAACAAAGCAGAGTTACTGTGGATGTACACACAGCCATTATCTAAAAATGACTGTTGAAAGTTTACATTTTGGTTACTGAATTGGAAAAATTCCTCATTAAGTATTTCACAGTTAATTCACTCATTTATTCTTTTTATTTTGTTTAAAAAAAAAAAGTATGTCTCCAAGGGTTACTGCATCCTTGACTTCCCACAGTGTACCTCACTGTCATGTTTTTGGCCAGGCTTCAATAAATGAAAAAAAAAAAATATTAAAACGTAATGTAAAAATATTAAAGAAAACCTTTTCATTGGTTTAAATTTACTTTAGTTCCTTCTTATTGTTCCCTCAGTGTGTTGATGGTTTGTTTTGCGTATAGATAAATCTCCAAGGTTGTTTAAAAATCAACTTGAGAACAACAAGTAAAGCAATAGGTTTGATCTCTTTACCTTTTGGGATAAAATAAGATAAAATGGAATGAAATGTTAATTTTCTTACATAAAAAATATAATTTCTAATCTCTGTTTTATAATATGTTGGAAAAAATAAGCAAACAGAAGCTAAAATCAGAGTAGATAAATGCATTTCAAGCCAATGTGAATAGAATAGATTTGTTATGAATTGGTGCTCTGAACAAAAGAGCAGACTAAAACCAAGAAGGATGGTACCTTTCCTTAGGATTTAATAAACTAATAAACTAACAGAGAAACAAGGAAAGTGGCATGAAAACATGAAACTGAACAGATAACCCCATGACAATGGGTGAAAAACTGAATGCTTAAAGAGGCTTTATGGAGTTTTGTAGTGATACTTCCACCTGTGGCCAAAACACAGAGCTGTAAAACTCTTCTGCTTGTGCTTGTAGCTCACACACATACTTCACAAGATTTTTCTCTTAATTTTTTCACCTGGAGTTGCCATCGGTGTCTGCTGTGAGCTTTTTTTTGGTCACTTCTGAGTATCCTAAAAATCCATCCTGAATGTAAAGCTTCGATTGTATGCTAGGTAGGATCCATTCAACATGGACATACTTGCTGTCACATGCGCATAACAGCACATGGACTTCAAACCTGAAGTAAATTAGGAAAATAGGCTACAGGCTTATAGATGCATCGGTGATAAATTACTGAGGTGTCAGTCTGCTCATCAAAGGATGTTTTAGTCACAAAGGCTCGAATAAAAAGCCTGTTTTAAGAATTTATCTGCAAAAACTTAAAAGAATCTCTCTTTAATTATAGGACAAAATTGGTGTAAAAGAAAAGAGGAAATTATTTAAACAGGGATATAGAAAGAATGACTGCAAAAATACAAACAACAACAAAATCAAGAAATACACCAGATAAATAAACTAGAAAATACCCAGCAAAAAGTAAACAAACGGAGCTAACAATGAACACCCCAAATGGCAAAAATAACAGAATATGGCAGGACATAATCAACAAAATGG